TTCAAACTGGCTGTTATCCTCAAACATGCTACACATGACTGTTACGCAAGCTAATGATGTTGTACGTGTAGATTTACTCAATCTTACAAATGTATTGAAGTAGCACTACTACATTGCAGTTCTGAACAGAATGTCATTGTACTTGGCTTGTCGCCAAGCCCCGCGGCAAGGGCAGGCGCATATGCATGGCATACAAAGAACTACTTACATGTACATGTACGAGTAAAATTATAAAACTAAAGACTGTGCGTAGTTTACAGGTGTGAACTATGATGCATGCATTCCTCTGATGCTAGTCACCGTGTTCACTGACAGTCGACTAGTCTGTAGTAGAACCGATTGAGATTATTGACAGGTTCGCACCTAAGTACCTGTAGTACTGACCTACCAGGGATGGGCCATGCCCACTGTCACGAGAAACCACCTGTCTAGACAGGCGACTTCCATTGTCACCTCAGGCACCAGGCCAGTGTTGCAATGTCCAGTTTCGTCTGTCCACAAAGGACACCGATTCTTTGTGCACCCATGCTGGGCCCCATGCCCATTGCATGGTGTGTGTGTGTGGCCACAGTCACCAGGCAAGGAACACTAAAGTCGTAAAGAAGAGTAGAGAAGAACAGGACGAGTCGACTGTAGTAGCCTGGCGCCTGCATTGTAGGCTGTAAGACAGTAAGTGTAAGAGTAGTGATGTGCAATGATGATTATGTCATCAGAGATATACATGTACATGTATGTACAATACATTTGTAGCGCAGCTCATTTTCATCATGGTCATTGCCTGGCATTGGCTTGCATCCAAGAGGATGACAGAACAAAATGACCATGTCATTTAGGCTGAATCGGGAAGTGTCTGGGAATCCTGAGATCAGACTTTCGCAGTGTATTAAACACAGGGCTATTTTACGCCTTGAGAACCAGCATGATACATATTATAGTAGACGGTAGATCAACATGCACGGGTAATATGTCCGGTATGCAAAGACGAAGCATTGGTGTAGTATACAATACTACTACACGTACTTCACGTGCTAGTGAATGTGTGTGTGTGTGTGTGTGTGTGTGTGTGTGTGTGTGTGCGTGTGTGTGTATGCATGTGTGTGTGTGTATGTATGTGTGTGTGTGTGCGTGTGTATGTATGTGTGTGTGTGCGTGCGTGTGAATAAAAATGAATGTGTGGGCGTGTGGGCGTCCCTCTCAACTTTCTTTTCTTCTTCCTTCCTTTCTTTTGCCGTATACGCCCATTGATGTACAATGCACATCTCCTGCTGTGTACATGTACATGTACATGCATGATGTAGTCGCTGGTGTGCATGTGCAACGATAATAGCCTATACAGAGTACATGTATCAGTTAAATCTGTATTTACCTTTACATGTACTAAGTATATTTTCACCACTCAGAGCATCGTGATGTGATGTAAAGTTCAGGAGCGTAGAAAAGCAAAATTTGCCTAGAGTAGAGTCTGTATAGACTCTAGGCCAGGCCATGGGGAGTCCTGCTAAGCGGCTCGACATTCTGGGTGAACGCCCCAAGTGCGCACGGTGCAGACGTGATAATTCAATCCAGTTCAGAACCTTGCAGGTCTGACCGTCACTCTTCACTCTCCGGGGGACACAATGCTCCTGCCCATGACCACTGGCACTGGCATGAGATCTTGAGCCTTCCATAACCATGACGACTGTAGCATCTGCGCTAATCCAGTCTACCATGCATGGTAGACTGTAATCCAGTACTCCATGATAGGCTGTAATCCAGTACAACATGGTAGACTGTAGTACCACAATATAATCAGTGAGTAGGAGTAATAACCAAGTATTATTATTAGTTACAAATGAACTAATTACTTGCATTTTGCAGCTACTGTGCATGTAGCTAACGTTAGTGACAGTGTGGGGGTTGGGTTTTCAGTGGGGCCAAGGATGGTGTGCATACAGGATACACCTAATTGTACAACTGTACAAGTACATGTATGTGCATGTATGAATCTCATACAATGTACCATGATGTAGGGAGTGAAGTCTTTCGCATTTTATGATCGTCCTGTCTGCTATTCGCAATCATAGTCACTGACTGCATGTGGTTCTATTCTGGGTTAGTTTGGCAATGGTGTTCAAAACAGTGTTGGTGGGGATTAAATCCGATTAATCATTATGGTAATGCTACGTAAGGGCATGGGAATGCCTTCTTTCACAACAGTGCATTCTCTAAATCAATCCTCCAGAACCTATGGGTGTCATTCAAATGGGGTCGTGTATTCACATGATTCATGTAATGGCAAGAGTGCACTTTACCAGCTGCCAGTTGGCATACGTTTGACCACAAAAAGGTACAAAGGCCAGTGACCACAGACTGGCACAGAGACGTTCACAATGAGGTCATGTCAACACATCATCCATCTCAGGACAGTGTCAATGCAAGTGGAAGACTGGTATGATTTATGGCGTTTGATCTTTTCCCGACTGACTCTGACTGTGGAGTGTGAATGCCATCGAGTCCTACAATGAGATACGTAATCATGGTAATCGTTCATGGTCTGTGTGTGCATATTATGTGTCCCTGCATGCAGCTTCTCAAGCCAAGGCTTACGCGTACTTGTACAGGTACATGTAAATGGCCATTGATGGGCAGCTTTTTCTTCCTTCTGTTTCTTTACCGCTCATTATTCAGGGCATTAATTTATTTATTAGTTTTGCCGTCAGCAGATGCCGCGGGAATGAGCCAATCTAGGCCTTGGCGGATAATGCTCGAAAAGGTGGCAGATTCTGCTTTTTTTGCACCGAAATTGGCAGAACCATACAAACCTTATGGCGGGCAATTCCTCGAATTCTGCTCCATTTCTTTATCCACATACCAAACATGCATGAAACTTACCAGAAAAAGTACCGAATTCTGCCAATTTTTCTGCCGGCATTATCCGCCAAGGCCTAAGCCAATCACCTCAGCCAGTTCTCGTCGCTATATTCAGCACAAGTAAAGAGGGGTGTTGGAGTTTCCGATCGTTTCACACCTCGTTAGCCACACTGTGAGACGCACACTCAACAAGATCACACCAATGGCAATGGGCAATGATGGAATGACCCAGCCACCTGTTCAGACTGCAGCTCACAACACAAGACTCAAGAGCCTTTACCTTACTACAAAGTGTCAGTACAGCAAGGACTGACCACGTCCTAGATCCTGCGCACAGTGTATCGCTGTGTTGCAGTAATAGCAATAATTTGTAGGAAATAATTGGTAGGTAGGCATCTTGCCGAAAGGTCCCAGGTTTTCCTGTCCCAGCAATGTCTAAAATCTAGAATGATGCTAGCAATACTCCTGACTGGTGGCTCTACATGTAAATGTACCTAACTCGACGAGCAAGTTAGCTCTGGCACGGCCTCCAGCCTTCACTCAGCTTCAGTGGCTTTCCTGCACGCTTGGACGGGCAGTCAATTCACGCATTCACGGATAAAAGATCACCACTGCCTCACGGGGACTGATAGGAGTCTGCAGCCCACACTGCACTGACACAAAATCATGCAGGCAACCGCTAGCCACTTTAGGCGTTCACATGAACCACTCGAATTCTTCATGCGCTCTCAAGCTCAGGAGATTGGGCAGAAGTGTCACACTTTACCGCTCCATTCAGACTAGCCGATGACTAAAAATCCATGAAAACAGGCCATCGATCGCCACCTTGTAGTGCCTCGCTGCGCTCGCCCTGCAAAACCCTGTACTGGTTTATTGCAACGCCTGAGCATGACCATGATGACTGTAGTCGTAGTCATTCTCAGACTCAGTGCATGACTTCGTACAATGTCGTGTAGTGTAGATCTACATGAAGTACACACATAAACGACTCCGTGTCATCATGCCCCGGCCCCGCGGCCCGGATGGTCATGTCCTACTTTTATTTTTGGGACTAGACTGATGCTGATCCGACTGTTAGTAATCAGGACGCAATGTAATGATTGGCCGGTTGCATACAGCCTGTTCCAGCTCTGGTCGTTCCAGTATGCCAGTCATTGTCACCGTCCGATCGAACGCTAAAAATTCCTGTTGTGTGGTGGTGTGAACCTACTCAATCACACCAACGCCTATGCGCATGATAGCTGTAGTCACAGAGCTTTACTTCTCTTCTTTTCAATCAACAGCAAAGAGAAACTGAGTGTGAGTGGTTTTGATTGTCGTCAACTATGGGGAACGACCCTGTCGCGCTGTACCAAACTCAAAAGGCAAGCTCGTCGGTTGGAGATGAACATAAAAACATAGCCCTAGCCCTGCACACCAGACACGTACATCTACACTCAGACTACAGTCATGTACATGATCTACGCGCATGAGTGTAGACTATATGTGTCATTCCACCCCTCTTTCACTTCTTTTTTTAGAACACCTCTTTCATTTTCACAAGTAAAACAAAATTTCTCCGTGTGTAGATCTAATGCAGGACACGTGTACCAGGCCAGGGATAGGGGCGGGAATATGAACAATCACCAGTCATGTCGTTGTTGTCGAGTTCCGAAAAGTCTGATCAGGCCTGTACTAGCTGTGGCTGTAGTGTAGCTGTGCCATGCCATGCCTGGACCGGTCGACCATGCATGGTGGACGTACCACGTCTGGCGGCATGTGCTGACGAGCGCTGCGATAGCGCTATAGCATAGCGTTCGCGCGCGCATACCATAAACACACTGTCACGGCGTGGCGCGCGAGCTCCGGACTGACCGGAGTGCGCGAGACACGCTGCATGCAGTGCAGATCTGTTCCATGGATCCATGTACATGTACATGTCACCGCAGACCTTACGACGAGAATACCGATCCCTGCTGTCTACTTGTGTATGTTGATTGTTGTCTGTATCCTGTGCTCATGGTGCTAGCCGTGTGTCTGTGTAGTGCAACAACACAGCCATCGCGCGCGGAGTCCCTCCACAGAGTAGAGTCAGTAGCCTGAGTAGGGCAGCAGGTCTACCTGGCCTACGCATGCCAGATACTGTATGCTGCAGAGCTAACAGGGCCAGGGGACCAGAAATAATTGCCGCAAGAAAATTTCATTGACGGACAACGGCTTTCATACGGAGATCTACGTAGACCAAAGACAAAGTGTGTTTGGCAAAGCATTGAACTTGAAGTAACGTTAGTTAGTTTTGTTGCAGAAGGAAGTGATAGTTAGCGGCAAGCCTGTTTCTGTTCACTGCTGTAGTTTTCACTTTCTAGATCAGTGCCGTGCGTGCAGGCTGTAGCTGCGGGAGTAGGTCTTTGTAGACGTCTACGAGCGTTCCGTATCGAGTACGGTTTGCAGCGGAGCGTCACCACTTCTCACGTGCCATGCAAATGCATGGGGAGATTTCGCGATCTCGCAGTTTAGCTGTTGTCTCAAGCCGTTCTCGCTAGTGCCAGTAGTGCCGCGTGCAGTGGCCAACGACGTTAGTCCATCGCTGATCCGCAGCTGCACTTGAGTTGAGGCTAGTCGTCCACGCCTAGCGCCTAGCTGCTGACCGAGCGTGAGCCTGTGTTGGCACTGGTGCAAACTTTGTCTCGACGGCTACAACGGGAGGAGATTCTCCCAGTCCGTTTTGCGACTCTGTTCCTTCCTGGGCTGAATACATCCAGTCTGTCACGAGCTTGGCTCTCGAACTATCTCTAATAATTATTGTAATAATTGTTCACTATCTGTAGCAGGATACTTGCTGTAAGGTATAAGGTATTGGCCTGAAGCAACGCTGGTGGTATACTTACCATAGCATCATTTCCCTCAAGCTAAACTCAACTGTCTCGGTTCCGCTCATTTCAAGGCACTGTGGCCTGTGACATGCATCGAAGTTGATGCAGCGGCAGCAGTAGCAGCAGACCTTGTATTGCCTATGACTGCACTATTCTAGGCTAGCTCTGTCGGAGCAAAACGAGTGCTGCTGTGGTGGTATTTCTCTCTGAGCTTTGTCGACGTGAATCTGTTATCCTGACCTGGGACAGGAGGACGCTCATTCATTGTGCTGTATCGGCACTCCGCTTTGAAGACATTCGTGTGCTGCTGCCGTTTGGCGAGAGGTTTTGAGCGTGGACACATCCAGCATGTGGCGGATGCTAAGATATCACCTTGTCTGCATCGTGGTATTGGCTTTTCGCGCAGCATCTGCCCAAGATGATTTTAGAGGTAAGTCCTCCTGCATTCCCCACGGCCATCATACTCATAGTCATCACTCACTAACCAGTAACATTCTATATCTAGCTACGGCATTTGCTAGGCATTTTGCCGCTTTCGATGCATTGCCGGGTTCCGCTGCTCGCGCGAATCGATTGAGATATTGCGGTGTTGCCTCGTACAGGCGGGAACCGAAAGGGTGACTGAAGGAAGCTGTCTCTATTAGTATTATGTTTAGGTGTTGAGCGAGAAGGATCCTAGGAACACGGCCTACTGTTACGGCGCTTTTGTTTTCATTATCTTTTTTTACTTTGCTCGTTGGCTATTTCCTTTATTAATTACTACATCTTGTTGCGTATTTGTCAAACGTCGACGTCTACTTTGGCGTGGGGCGAGCATGCCGTACTGTACTCTCGCCTAAAGTGGAGGAAAGTGACTGTGTGATGGTTAGTTATCGTTGGAATGACTATTGAGTATTGTGATTTGAGCAGTGATAGGGCCAGAAAACTCGTTCTACCGTATCTTGATTCACCATGGTTCATCGTCGTCCGCCGGCACCGATGTGCCTATGCTATGGGACTAAGGAATGAGACTATGATCATGATGATGGGGCAACCATAGTTGCAAAATTAATGCGATCATGGCTGCTCGCGAACAATGCCACGGCGGTGTGTACGCATGGGTAAACTGAGTTTAGTGCGCGCGGTGTGCTAGTGCTGTCAGCTGTGGCAGTGTGGGCTGTATCCATGGTATCTGGTTGCTAAAATACGGTAGACTCTCTACGTCTAAGCTGCGGATGATCGTTCGCTGTTCCGTGGTTGTGGACCAAGCCATCCAAGTAGGGGGCTGCATTGCGTCGTCCATGGTGTATTAATTTTGGTACTGCTAGTACAGAAGTAGTACTGGTATCATGAGTATTATAATTATGGTATATTGGCAGATATATAGGCCTTTGGGTAATCCTGAAATAAAGATTATTATTATTATTGTGCAATCCTCAAACGCTGGAGTGATGACGTCAGGTAACAACACAACAAAAACTGAGCAGCAAATGCTAATCTAACAAAAGCTCAGATTGTGCAACTAGCACAACAGTCGTGAACAGGCAGTGAAATCTGCTAACAGATCAAAAACCCTAAGCGGTCCTTGTCCAGACGACTGAGAAAAGATTGAAAATGGTTCGGAACAAATTCAACTATTCTACAGTCTTGGACGCATCTGTCCAGTAAAATCTGTACAGTTACCAATTGGAAAATCTTTTTGCAGACTGGGAGGTGACGATGCAGCGTCAGTTCATCAAACAATTCGTACTTGGGCTTGTTAGTGTTCGGGAATTCGAGCTGATAGCACATTTCTTACGGTGAGCAAGTAGAGAAAACTACAAACCGGAAAGTAACGTTTTGTATAGAGGTTACGCGAGTGATTTCAAGGGGATGAGTCAGCGGAATCGCTTATGGGCGTTGAGTATACAGTGTAACCGTTTATGTGCGCTATGCATGCAGCGTTAGTTGCTAGTGCAGCACTGTGCACAGCAAGCATCTCAACTGATGATGTAATCGCATAACCTATAGGAAAATGTCAGAACCTGAATGGATCTTGGACTAAAAGGGGGGCTACGGCAAAGTGTAGAAAACGTGGAAACCAAAATAGTGTGGGGATCCAGGTCTGAATCCTGTGTAGGACCGGAATAATGGAGGGCTTGGAACAGCTGGACACTTCCTGCGTATTGTCACCGTGCCACTGTGCTTTCCACTATGCTTCGTGCTGCCCGACTGTCTGTGCACTATGCTTCGTGCTGCCCGACTGTCTTGGCTGTAACACTTCCTGTGTGTGACGAGGGGGATGCTGCTCGCACAAGATAGTGTTCCTGAAAAACAATAATTGCTTGCCAGTACGTGTAAATGTACATGTACCACAAGGAAAAGTAGAAAAGACGAAAAGTAGAAAGCTTCCTCCTCCAACCCAAAGTTGTGCCAGAAACTCCACTTTTACCCAGGGTAATTGATAATTGGGTTATTGATGGTCATTCAAAACTAGAATATTATTTTGAAGAAACTTTATGAAAATGATGATGTATCCTGCTGCTAATATAGGTCTACACACATATGTTAGTGTTTTGCAGGCACTGACCCCCGCCCCATGTACACCCCTGGTGTGTCCGTGAACGTGTGTGTGTGTGTGTGCACGTGTGTGTGTGTGTGTGTGTGTGTGTGTGTGTGTGTGTGTGTGTGTGTGTGTGTGTGTGTGTGTGTGCTGGTTCATCATGTCCTTCATCAAAGGGCATACCTGTGGTACACGAAAAAATGCCTCACCATCCTTTAGATCGATGCCGGTGAGTGCGATAAACTGCCTACAGTGTTTCTGGGTTTTGCTAAAGCCTAAAGTGTCGAATGCTGTGTGTTTGCAGACGCTGAAATCGTGCCAATGGACAGAAGCTCGTCGTGCTCCGACCGAGATGTGTATGTAGCATTTGGGACTTCGACAACGCTCCGTTGCGATGCCATCGACCAGTGGAACGAAAATATGATAACTTCAGTTGAATGGTTTGATATTGCCAATAAGCCTCTGGAGGGGAACAGCTTCATTCGTATTAGTAGCAGCAAGCAGTATGCGACTATCAGCAGGCTGCAGGAGCGCCATTCTGGACGTTATGCTTGTCGCGTTTCTTACTGCAACCACACCGGCATAGACGAGCAGGGCAAGCCCCGCTGCATACGCCCCCTCGTCTCTCAGCCCGTGTACACTTGCCTCAAGGTTGCCGGTGGGTATTTCAATTGTGCTGTGTTGCTGCCGATACTGATCTTGCTGTGACCCCGCTTATTTGCTTTCTATCTCCACATGCTGCATTGCTTCAGTGCTATTGATTTCATAATTGAGATCATTAACAAGTTCCGGCACTAATCGTATTTCATTTCTCTCCGGTGTCCTCGAATTTGTGCTCCAGTACCGCCGGTTGCTGAAATTATCACACGACGCCATCATGTGATGGCGGGCAAAGAGCTGAGGGTGCGCTGCTCTTTCCGTGGAGACGAACCGCTCAAGATATCATTCCGCGTGAATCGAACAGACGTGGTATACCCAGTCGAACAGGACGGTACCTTCTTAGTGCCCAAAGTCACCTCGCAGTTTGAGGGCTTGTTGGAGTGCATCGTTCACAGCAACATGCTGAACATAACGGCCGTGGCGTCGACTTCTGTCGTGGTGTATGGTAAGTACAACTACTACTAGTACTACTAGTACTTCTCATGCCCCATGAGAAGTACTAGTACTACTAGTACTTCTCATGCCCCATGAGAAACATATACAATGTAAATTGCTGTGCTCACTGTTGATGAGTGTGCTGTGATATCATACATGCCCTTGACTACTCATTCACTCGCTGACTCTCTCTCTCTCTCTCTCTCTCTATCTCTCTCTCTCTATCTATCTCTATCTCTCTCTATCTATCTATCTCTCTCTCTCTCTCTCTCTCTCTCTCTCTCTCTCTCTCTCTCTCTCTCTCTCTCTCTCACAGAACCCCCGAGAGTCAAGGTAACTCCCAGCCAGATCAATGTCTACTCGGGCACGTCAGTCTCAATAAGCTGTGAAGTGATGAACCTAGATCCAGATATAAAGCCTGTCACATTGTCATTCTCCCAAGCCCCTCCAACCATGGTGTGCTTTGCTGGCCTTAGCCAGGGTCTCGACTATACCTCACAGTTTGATCAGCGGCAGCCAGCTGTTATTTATAAAAGGTTTGGTGCCATTCGTGAACACAATAAAGGCATCTACTACTGCAAGGCAGTGACTGGTCGCCTGACAGGATGCGTACAGGACTATAGCACAAAGGCATTCAAAGTCGATGTTCTCGGTAAGTCCTCACCGCCTACGTGTCAACTTTTCAAACACCATGCACTTGCTATCGCCGTTGCTGTTGTGTTGCTGCTGCTGCTGTTGTTGTTGTTGTTGTTGTTGTTGTTGTTGTTGTTGTTCATGTGGGGATCAGTGACATGCCAGGTAGAGCTCCATGACAGGGCAGTACATGTAGTGGGAAGAAGTAAGTGTACAATACATGCATGTACTCAGTGTATAAGAGCAAGGAGATGGCTAGTGGCACTAGATACATGGAGTGCACGAGCAAAGGTACTATCAATGCATTGCAAGTAGGTACAGCTGTACTGGGTGAAGTCGGCCCCAAACGGGCCAAAGTGCAAAGCTTGCGTCCTGGACCAGTTCCTATCACGTTACAGTGTATCTATACCGGTGTACACGTACATGTATGCCCAGTAGAATCTACACCACTCCAGTGTGCCAAGCATGCTCTTGGGATTAGACTTCATCTAGCACAACCGTACCAGCTTCTCGATTGGCTTTCTATTTAACCTCTGTGTGCTACATGTGCTGCACTCTTTCTCCTGCAGACCGACCACCCATAGCGCGGCTGAAGATTGCGAGCCGTGATGTCGTCGTGGGCGAGCGCCTTGTCCGTGTTGCCGGCGACAGGATCCAAGCTGTTCTCACGTGCACTGTCAACGGAGTAGAGTCTGGTCGCACGGTTGAAACCAAGTGGTACCACAACAACACCCTGTTGGTGCCCGGTGGTGAACAGAGTGAATTTCTGGGCTCGACCAGAAGCGGCGAAACGCTCATCATTAGCAAATTCCAGCCGCGCCTGAATGGATTCATCAGCTGTAGCGTGAATTACGTTGGCTTCCCCGAGATCAACGTAACTCGCACCAATCCGATTGAGGTGTTCGTTCAAGGTGAGTGATATGTGCTTTACAGGTTGGTAGCGTAGTGCGTGGTGAGTGACTTGTGGGGAGGTAGTGGAACACTCAGCTGCTCAGGTGTGCTACTTGTGCCAGTGGTAGAGTTTGCAGTTTGTGACACCTGTATCCATCCTGACCGTGCTCCTGTGCTGTATTCTTGGTAGTACTGACTTGCACCTTCTTGCTATTATATGAATACATATTCCAGTGATATGAGTAATCATGACCGAATCTCCCTTCAGTGTTTATAAACAGCACGGCAGTCGGGTAGCTCCTCTTCCATTTCACTTCATGAGACAGTGCGTATGGCATGTCACCACCATCATGTAGGCCGCCAAACGTCTCCATTGCTTCTTACATGTCCTCTGTGTGTGTGTGTGTGTGTGCATGCGCGCGTGTATGTGTGTGTGTGTGTGTGTGTGTGTGTGTGTGTGTGTGTATGTGTGCGTGGGTGTATGTGTACGTATGTGTGCGTGTGTGTGTATGTGTGCGTGTGTGTATGTGTGCATGTGTGTGTGTGTGTGTGTGTGTGTGTGTGTGTGTGTGTGTGTGTGTATGCACGTGTGTGCGTGTGCACGTTTACACGCTAACAGTTCCGCCGGTTGCCGCTGTGACCCTGACCGGGCACGAGTACGGCATCGGCGAGCATTTCAACGCGTCATGCAGACTGGTCGCCGGTAACGGTGACAGGGTTTTCACGCAATGGCGCCGCAGGATAGAGAACATTACGTACCCATTGCCGCTGGTGCAGACCATCAGAGGGATCAGCATCCTGAGCCTGGAGAACCTGAACGAGCGTGATGCCGGAGAGTACATCTGCGTGGGCACTGACCCAGACCTGCGGGACGATAGCCGAAAGTCGCACGAACTCGTTGTCAGGCTCAGCGTTCACAAGAAAGGTAACCCGGGCCGTTAGTAACTGTTAGGTGTGCGCTTGCTCTTGTGCATGTTGAAATGTGGTGTGATCACGGGTATGATCCTGCTTGGGTGCATGCTGGCACAGGTGATCATGGCAGATTGAAGCTACACAAAAATGTGACAAAATACATGAAAATGTCACTAGTATGCTGCACTGTGTACGGTACACAGATCATGTACAACATGTATGTTTGATACAGAAGCAACACATTCACATGCTGAATCTACCACCCCATCTCTCGAACGCTCTTGGGGGTATATTAAATATTAATAAATTTACGTGTGCGCGGCCGCGTGTGCATTTCGGGTGTTTTGTGCTCTCACTTGTATTCCACATTCAGCACCAGCTATTGTGGAGGACTTTGCACCAGACACAGTGCCGGCTATAGTAACATCGTCCAGGCCCATCGTGGAGTCGAGAACTGATGAGGTTGAGCTGTCGGCCGGTGGCAGCAGTCAAATTACTAGCGATCAGACTTACATCACGATTGCCATAGCTGCCTCCAGCGTTGCTATTATCATGGTTGTTGTGGTCCTGGCGCTCATCTTCTACACCAAGAGATGGCGTGCACTGAAGCAGATTGCACTGGATGGTGGGTACTCACAGTATTACAGTATCCCTGGGTGTGTGTGTGTGTGTGTGTGTGTGTGTGTGTGTGTGTGTGTGTGTGTGTGTGCGTGCGTGCGTGCGTGCGTGCGTGCGTGCGTGCGTGCGTGCGTGCGTGTGTGTGTTGGAATGTGTTTTGCTTATCACTTGGTCGTTGTTGGGGGTGTGCTTGCATTGTCAAGCACATTGAAAAACACTCACAGTGAGGCGGTGGTCGGTGCTGGGGCTGGGGCTGGGGCTGGGGCTGGGGCTGGGGCTGGGGCTGGGGCTGGGGCTGGTGCTGGGGCTGGGGCTGGGGCTAGGGCTGGGGCTGGGGCTAGGGCTGGGGCTGGTGCTGGGGCTGGGGCTGGGGCTAGGGCTGGGGCTGGTGCTGGGGCTGGTGCTGGGGCTGGGGCTGGGGCTGGGGCTGGGGCGCAGCTTACTTTATCATGCACGTTGATAAACATCCATAGTGAGTGGAGGCGTGACGAGTCACAGCACGTGTGGTCTACATCTGAACGTAAAAGAACGTTGCCTTTCACCCTGGACTGCAACCACCACCGAAATTCAGTTCTCTTTGATTGCTTTATGATGAAGTGATAGGACAAGAAAGGACACACTGGTGTCGGTACAATGAAAGCTAGCAGTTTTACATCAAATACACATTACTTGTTTGTGGCTGAAATGCTGGACGCCGTGTCTTCCCACTCCCATTATAATTGTGTGGAATGTTCCTTGTATCCTCTGTGCTGTGTGACTGCAGAAGTAAGAAACGACACAGAAAGCAGTAAGGTTAGTGTTGGCAATCAGCTGATGTTTAGTTTCTGACACCTGTTGAACCGATGGAATGTGGTATGGCATGCAGCGATGGTCATGACCGTGTGTGCGTGCGCGCGCACGCTCGTATCGGTGTCATTATAATGTATGCTGTGTTTCCTGTCGTGTTGTGTCTGTGTGCAGAGTTCGAGTGACAACCTACCCAACAATGCCCCACGTGTAAGTCCACAGCCCATGAATATGTATAACTGTTATCGCAATGTACAGGGATACATGGTGGGCCTGTCAAACACACATCTTGCCTTCGCAATGTACAGGGATACATGGTGGACCTGTCAAACACACATCTTGCCCTCACGATGTAGTGGCGTGCGTGGCTGCTGGTATGCTTACATGACGACGCACCGCAGCATACAGCGGCAATCACATCGGCCACTCGCATCTGCCGCACCACCATGAATGGATGACCGCGTCCTTCCGTATGTGTGTCAGTCTGACAGAACCGCGGCCGGTGAAACGATCATCGGCATGAAGTTTTTTTTGGATGACACACCGGAATGTTGTGTGCTGGAATACTGGTCTAGGTGTATGGGCATGCATAACTACAACATTTGTAGCATACCACAACTGCTGTACCAGTGCACAGGGGTGCATGCTGTAGCATACCACAACTGCTGTAGCAGTGCACAGGGGTGCATGCTGAGCTCTCTGGGCTCACTAGACGCTATATAGGATGTGTCTGGCTTGAAGTCTGGTGAACAGCTGTGCCATGTGTTGGTCGTGTCTTCCCTCCTGTACTGCACTGCACTGGTCCTGAGGAAGCTATGCAGGAAGTGTGGGCTTCATGGCAGAATGCACCCGGTGTCTGAATGCACCCCGGGGGTGTCTGCTTTGTACCACAGTAGCATGCTAACAGCAGAGTTCGCTGTGTGCGTGTGCGTGTGGGTGTGCGTGTGCGTGTGGGTGTGCGTGTGGGTGTGCGTGTGCGTGTGGGTGAGCGGGCACTGGCTGTCTAGCTTGGCTGACTTCTAAGCTTCCACGTCAGTGCCAGCGGGGCGAAATCGTGCCGCCAGTGGGGCTGTCAATACCGTGCTGTACCGCGGTGTGCGACTGACTGACTGCCTGTATGTTGTTGTTGCTGCTGCTGCTGCTGCTGGTGGTGCTGCATTGCTCTGTATTGCTCTCTGTGTGTACAGCCAACCAGGCTAGTTCTGAAGGACATGACCAGTAATCCTAACTACGAAACAGTTCTGGCAGTCACTAGATCAAGGGTGAGTTGTGAAGTTTGAGTGGAGGTTTGTTGCCATCTCTCTTCTGAACTTGCGTATTGTCGGAGCATTTGTAGAAGTGGCAATGTGGAGATCTGTTGAACTTGAAAAGCAGATCCTGGCAGGGTGTTCTTGGTGTTGTTTTGATTTGAGGTATTTGTGTTTGCTGCTACGTGGCTGTGTTTAGTCTGACGACTCGGATGAACAGAAGAAAGACGCTGTGACTCTGGCCTCGGTGAGTAGCTGTTCTTTCCTGCTGTACAATCATGTATTGAACTCTGCTCCAACATTTACGCTCTGCACACTTCGCACTTCTCATGGCATTTTGTCACCAGCCTGCCTTCTTCTGACACGGTGGCTCTATGATGGCATTGCTTGCATTTCGCAGTGAGTGATATCGTGTTGCAGGCGATTCGCTAGGTTGAGTGCCGCCATGTCTTTCTCTTTTTTCTTTCTTCTTGCACCCGCCAACCATAACGGTGCAGAGCATTGCATCAGGCTGCTTGGGTTGGTTTGTAAAACACTCCCGTTGCACTATTAGGTAGCCTGTTTGGATGCCTGTGATTCGTTGGGCGACAGCAGAGCTCACCAATATTGAACTGCCTCGGTGAAAAATTCTGGCGGAAAAGCCCTTCGTGGGGTACAGGTCCTCCCTGGGTCTACGAGTAACCAGCATCAGAGTTTGTTTGTTTCTTTCTTTTATTTGAATTCGTTTAGAGCACAGGCAATTCTGCCTTCTCACCAGAGGAAAAACCTCCGGTTCCTGCTAAGAACAAATATAATATTATGAGAGAAGGAAATATTAAAAAGAATCATAACATGATAATTCCAAAGCACAAAGTTTGTATATAATTCAAATGGGTGTGTGTATGTGTAAGCATGCAGTGAAGAACACACAGAGTTGAGTAGTTCCCTCCTCTGAACACGAATCTTGGGAACGTATGTGGGCGCTGAAGGTGCTGCATATCGTGCTGATCATGTCACGAAAACTCTGTGTGTGTGTGTGTGTGTGTGTGTGTGTGTGTGTGCGCGTGCGCGTGTGTGTGTGTGTGTGTGTGTGTGTGTGTGTGTGTGTGTGTCTTGTGCACAGCAGCGAGACGACGGTATTGCAGACTGCTCACGAGTAAGCCCACTATTCATGTACATCAAGCTATTACCTAGCCCGGTCTTGTACAGAGCTGAGGCATGTGACCATGTGTTTAGAAAGGCCAGGTTTGACCCAGGGACTCAGGGACGTTGCATCTCTCCGAAATGTGAACAACAAGCACTACGCTTTGGGCTGGTATGGCCCGGTTCAATTTGTACGTGATGGTTACGACAGTGTTCTTCTAGCGCACACGCGGCACAGGGACTAAGAAGTACTTTGCATCAAGCACGTGTGCTGGTGCTTGTGCCCTCATTCTATTCACATCATGGCAACAAGATGCCTGAAGTGGCTCTATGATTCACATGTACTATGATCCACTGTACGTTCATGTTACCCACTGTACATGTGCTTGACAATCCTGGTGTACATTGTTTGCAATTGTAATTTGTATCCACTGACAGGAGGCTACTGATCAAGAAACACCAGCTGCCACTGGCACAACTGCAACAGCTGCTGCTGCTGCTACTCCTGCTGCCACACTGGTCACAAGTAACGGTGCCCCCGGTGGCAAAACGTCGGTGCAGCTCGTCAAAATGTCATCCACGGCTACGGTCGCATCCAACGTCCCCAGCAGTGCCAGCCGCGGCGGCAATGTCCACCCGGACACGGAGGCGAGCGACATCGAGTCCGAGTGCTACAGTGAGCCCCTGGACCGCACCAGTCACGCGCGCACCTCAATCCGCAGCTTTGCCACGGTGATGCGCGAGGAGGGCAGCCGAACACCGCGCGGTGTGATACAGCGACGTGTCCAGGCTGCCGGTAGCCAAGACGCCGACACGTACAGTTTGCCACGTGACGCGTGCATTCAGGTAATTGATCCGGACGACGCTGACTACAGTGCACCGGTGGATAGCCGTCGCCCATCCAGTAGTGCTATTGCTGTCGACGAGTACAACTTCCCTGCTGATGGAAGATACACGAATGATGTAAGTTGCCATCAGAGTTCCAGTTACCAGTGTCAATGCTTGCCTAGTACGAACAGTGTGTTTGAGAGGGATTGAAGTGATTTTCACTTTTGTTTGCCCGTGTGTAGCACGCTGAATGTTGATCATGCTACTGCTGCTACCGCTGCTGCTGCTCAACTTGAGACTTGGATTAGTTTTCTGGGACAGCGGCCTAAGTTTGAGGGAAATCAATTCTTTCACACCAAATCATGTGGCTTGGCATGAGCGTCACCGCACTCGCTTGACGGCAAGCATGTTACTTATCCATTGTCCTTGGCTCTGTGTGCCATCTGTCCGCAGATGATGATCCGCGGTCGTGGGGTGCGGCCGTCAGGAAAGGGCCGCCATGGCAGCGTACAATCCATTCGGCCCAGTTTGGCCGGGTCGATCCACTCTGGAATAAACCAACCTGACGAAGGCGAAGTAAGTTTGGATGCGTGATGAACACTGGGAAGGTGTGCGTTAGAATACGTTGACAACCGTTTAAAAATTTATCTGAAGGGATTCACGCACTATCCAATGTTTTGATTGACTAAAACAGTGCTAATGTATGACATGTGCTGATTACTGCTACTTTCTGTGGTACCGTTGTAACGTTACTTGTCTTTGCTGTATGTTGTCACAGTTGAGTCGCTCTCCGTCACCAATTGATGAGAAGCTGTATGCTGAGCCCTACGCAGAGCCGCCCAGCAATGTCGATGCGATCTACAACACGTTGAAAATGAATCAAAGATACCGCGACATCTGCCCTGACAACATCAAACTGGAGGATGCCCTGGGATCTGGGTAAGGGTTTCCCATGACTAGAAACATGATCATGAAATACACACGCGAGGATAGTGCTTCATGGCTTGGATAGATTTGAACTCTGTCAGAATGGGACCAATATTGTGTGTGTGTGTGTGTGTGTGTGTGTGTGTGTGTATGTGTGTGTGTGTTCTGCTGCCAAAGTTGCTGCCGCTATTTCGTTCTGTTGCTCTGTCTGAAAACGACTTATAATAATCATGAGGAAGAGAAGTACCAAGCTGTTCTGTAACGCACCCTTTCTCTTTTTGTCTGTTGAATGTATTCTGCAGTCGGTTTGGCAATGTGTATCGCGGAGTATGGACAGAAGTAAGTCAGGAACTACAAGTATATGTGCTGTGCTGTTGACACACACAGTTCAGTGCACACATGTACCGGCTGTGTTGCTGACAGAAATTCACTGCGATCAGTTCAGCCAATCAGTCCGAGATCTGCTGCTGAAACCCAGCAATGTTGATACAGGTAGCTTTCCGATTGTGGGGACAGGTAGAAAACAAACACTTTGCATTGTTAGCACCGGGAATTATCGGGAGCAATATTTGTGTGATGAATGTTGCTTGTTGGTTTCGCTCAACCAGCTATGCTGCTGTCTTTCGTGCGTCTCCTTGCAGTCCAACGTTACACGCAAGGTTGCTGTGAAATCTCTCAAGGACGGTGTGGACCCGCACGAGCGACTGCTCTTCCTGCAGGAAGCGGCTATCATGGGTCAGTTCAGACATCGCAATCTGGTGCGTCTGTACGGAGTGGTCACACAGGGTGAAGCGGTGAGTCTACAACCACTATAATATGAAGCATATTATATAACTATACATGCTATACATAGGCGGCGGAAACCACCCGCGACTTTCGCAATTGTTCTGCATCAAGTACCTTCCGATGGGCATTTATGCATGCCTATGATGTGTCTACGAGGGCTTGTTGTCCGCAAGACAATTGTTATGAAGGTTGTTGAAGTAAGTGATTTTCGAATAATGTGAGCATGGTAGTCCACTTCACCGTCACCTCGCACGTTCAATAATGAACTGGTGGTATTCATCTCATATGCAGGCAAGAAAGTGGCTTTCAAGCAGAATGCTGCTTACATGTGAGCCGCTGGCAATGAAAATCATTGTGACCGTGACTTTCAAACAGATCTGTTTCGGAAATCCTTTAAAAACTGGCCGCTCGTATTTTCATGTCTTCGGACAGCAAGAAAGAGGTCACTCGTATTGCTCACATTATTTGACAATCACTTCAACAACCTTGCTTTGTGTGTCTGTGTGTATTTCAGCTTATGCTGGTTGAAGAACTGATGTGCTCAGACAATCTGCGCCAGTACCTCCTGAAGAGAAGGCCAGAGTAAGTCGTGTTGTCCGTTTCTCGTGTGAGATGTTGAGGTTGGTGTTCTTAGTGCGTACAGTTGTACAGTTGGTGATAGAACCGTGTCGGGTGACCACAAAATGGATGTGATGGCGGTAAATGATGTGATGGCGGTAAATGCTTTCCAACGCCATGTACTTCTGTAGTAGTGTGGGTAGTATCTAGGGGGCGAATCAGGGCGCCCAGCTAACGTCACTGGGTATCTAGGGGGCGAATCAGGGCGCCCAGCTAACGTCACTGGCAAATACTCGGCTCATCATGTACTTGACTGTGTATATTTCTGGCCCTTCTGCTTCACAGTGAGAATGGAATTGCAAGCAGCATGCCGTTGACCCTGCTCAACATGTGCAAGGGTATTGCCGACGGCATGAATTACCTGGCAAACCGTGGCTTCGTGCACAGGGTAAGGAGATACTAGGAATGACGGATACCATCCAGTCTTACTAATCCCTGTGTGCTGCTGATTAGTGGCCATTGCTAACACAAGTGATTAGTGGCCATTGCTAACACAAGTGACGGTGTACATTCTGTGGAAAACGAAAACGAAATTCTTTGCCAGTATACGGCAACTGAATTTAAAGACTGTTCATTGGTGGCTAGTGGAAGTGTTCTGGAAGTGTTACATGAACATCTGATAATCTCAGCATGCTCAACCTATGCGAGAAGGTGTAATCACACTAGGACACACAAAGTGCTTACGCAATGCCGTGTGTGTGCTCTGTGTTGTGTGTCGTGTGTGTACCTATAGGATTTGGCAGCTCGCAATATCATGCTGGATGCTGATGAAACCTGCAAGGTAAGAAGCCCAGGGCATTCGGCTATGGACATGCTTACCCGGTGGTGCTATCCTATTCCGTAGCAGCCAATCTGATAGCATGGTTAACAGACTGCGTCGCTCAGTATCTGTCCATCCCAGGATGGGGTATTATGGGAAACTGGCTAGCTATTACTTTGCCTGCATGAACGTCCTTGGCACTCCTTGTGCTTTGTGTTTTCTGCAAGAACCATTGCTCAAGTTGTGTGTCTTTGTTGGTGCAATCATGCAGATTGGAGACTTTGGCATGTCCCGCGGCATGGAGGCCGATCACTACGAAAGTTCGGGCGGTGTAATCCCGGTCAAGTGGAGTGCGCCAGAGGTATGGGCTTCACACATCCTGTTCAGTTGCTGTAGTCTAGATTAGATACACGTGTTTGCACTGTTTGCATACATACCTGCACGCAAAGTCACAGCATTATACTCATAATCACGCTCCTACTCTTTGTACATCCAGGCTCGTGACACCAAAGCATCCCCCTTCCCCCTCATAGTACTGGCCAGCACTCAATATGGATGATTAGGAGACATGGCTATTATTACTAACTCACCATTATGTCGCTGTCTTGTTGTTTGCGATAGGCCATTGAATACCGTAGCTTCTCAAGTGCCAGCGACGTCTGGTCCTACGGCATAGTGCTGCACGAGATTTGGACGTTTGGCAAGTGTCCGTATTCCTGGTGGGACAATGAAGTGGTGAGTTGTGACTGTGAGCAGCGGGTGTGCTTGCTCAAAGCACTGGCTTTCGGAGTTGTGAGCAGGGTGTGTGCTTGCTCAAAGCGCTGGCTTTCGGTGCATGCAGGGCTGGAGGGCTGCAGAAGAAAGAGACTATGTGAGGCAAAACAAGTTTAAACAACATCGGCAATGCCTTCTTATGTGGAAGGAGCATATTGTGTGTACAGTCATCGCTATAAATTCAAGAAATATGAACGATGCCGTTTCAGGGTCAGCGTCACTTGCATGCATGAACAATAAGAACACCCTAGCTCTGTCATAGTATAGACTGTAACCAGCCATGGCCTATGCTGTGATAGTGCACGGCGAACTTCACACTGCCATACAACATGCTACTGTTTCAAGGCGAATTTGTCTTATCTACTTGCATACCGGTAGTGAGCCAGGATCTCATTGTTGCCGTTCTCTGCCGTGTACGCGGTCCACTGCAGGTAATGCTGAAAATCAAGGATGGTTACAGGTTACCGCGACCAGACTTCTGCCCGCCATTGCTGTACGCGTTGATGAAGGATTGCTGGTAAGTCAGAGCGAGTCTGCAGTCGTACTAAGATGATCACCTAACCTGTACATGCATGTGGGAGTGCCTGCAACTGTGTGTACAAGTGCTTGAACCATTACACATCAAGCAGCTGGACCACGTTCCACCAGTGACGTAGGTCACACAGACTGCAGGTCCTACCAAGAATTCACACAACAAACTACATAGTGTGCACCTCCAAGTAAACATATGCCACTCTGTCACGACTCTTTGTCCGAATACGCTGTATGTCTTTTCGTGATGCAATGTACCTGATCGTGCACAAGGCTGCAGTGTGCATAATCAAGCTTGCTTCACGAATGCATGCATAGACCTGGCTAGGTAAAGTGCCGGATTCGCGGCCACATCGACAGACGTGATGAGGAACGCGTCAAGCGAACACATTTGATTATCGGCGGGCCACCACTACGCCCGTGTGGCCTTTTGTCGGATGAAAGACGAAGTACAGATGAGAATTGCTGGCCAGTGAGATGTTTCCACAATGGTTTTACCTGTGCGTGGTGTGCTGCTGTTCTTGCTGCTGATGATGATGTCTTGCAGGGAAGAGGACAAGAAGGATAGACCCAGCTTCCAGCAAATCTTGCAGCGTCTTGATGGACCTCCCGAAGCGCTACTACGCATGCCTAAAGCATTGGCAGTGAACCGCAGGCAGATAAAGCGCACGGCGGCCAACCGAGTAAGCACGTGTTCAGCGGCGACGGACGGTGACAACTCCGATTCCAGCAACTCTGCGAAAGCGGACCAAACGTAAGAAAGCGTGTTAGTGGTGCCGAAAGCTGCAGTCGTGCTCCTCGGATCCACGGCGTGTCTGTGAGGTGTGGCAGTGTGGAGCAAACTTACTGCAGTGTTCTCAGAATGTTGGTTTTCAAATGCCAGCCTATTCCAGGCAAGTTCTGAACCAGTATGATGGACCTGTTGCCTGGCAACAACACACTGCTGGATTGCACTTCAGTGTAACGAGCGACACTCGCCTCTCCTTCTTTCTTCTTGAGATCAGATGATCTGGTTGTGTGAGCAAAGTGCTTTTACTGCCCTAGTCAAATTTATTCAACGGCATTTTCCTTTCTTCTCCAACAACCGTTATATTATTATTGTCACATAGATAAATCCCAGGAAAACAATGGACGGGTGAAATCCGAGATATTTGAAATTTTTTGATATAGTACCACTTGTGCGTGCGTGTATGGCCTTTGCGATTTCGTTTGATGGCTTTTTCCAGCATTGGTATGTGATCGAGACATGTACATGTGTGTGATGCCGTCCACATACTACCCTTCCATCTTGATCTCTACTCCTCGCCAATGGCTCACTCTGCAATCATTGTAATCCCCCATAGCAGCACAGGCATGTATGCCATTACGTAGGGTATCCAGTATGTAGTGTACGGGCACTCATGTCACACGTAGAGATATGCACAGGCACAATGCACCCATTGCTCGCTGAGGGCACGCCGTTGTTTCCAATCCTGCTTCTAGTATCCGCTGTAATCGTTAGACGCTTCGCGATGTTGTGAGCCAAGTAAGAGTGCAAGTGTTCCTCAAACCGTGTTTCTCACTCACGTGCTTCTTAATTCTTATCTCCATAGCTGTGTATTCAGAGAACATCAACTTGAGTCCATAAGAAAAGAACATACTTATAATATCTACAACAAATTCCAAACTTACATTCTGGCTTCTCATGTGTGTACGGTACAGTGGATTTCTGGGAAGTGTCTTGGCAGGGTGTGGTGTGTGCCTGTCAGAGTCAGGTTTATACGGCTCCCGGGTGCACGTGCAGTGCCAGTTGTCAATATCCTTGTTTTGTCAATTTGCACAGGAATGCTGAGGACTAATCTACGATTTCAAGCAGTTTTTCGTCTTTATGGTAGTCCATTCTGGAGTTTTTTTTTTCAAATTGAAAAAGAGAAATGGATTTGGGACTAGACATTCTGTACATTGATCGTTGCTAAATGTGCCCTGTTTTAGCCGAAGACTAATCTTGTTTGGAGCATTGGGAGAAGACCTGTGGAAAGATTTTAGCCGATTTTTAGCAGTTGGCGCGCATTAGTGCTAGTTCTTGTGAAGGTATCTGGATTTTTTATAGTGCACTGGGTTTTAGCAAGAGTACATAACCCCGGGGGTTATGTACTCTTGGTTTTAGCCAGGATCAAAATCAAATAAAACAATTCAAGAAGATTTTGATTATTTGATGCGACTTATTCAGCATCCTCACGTGACTATAAAAAAATTTAAAATAAATAAAAAAGTTGATTGAGTCGCTGGATACGTACTGTTAGTTACAAGTACTCATATCATCTATTTTGTGCATTCACGTGGGTGTGGGGGCGTCAGTGACCCTTGGAGCAAAACAGCGCTGCCGAATAAAATCTGATCGCATGAGTCAGCTAGCACTCAGGTGCACAGTGCCCTGGTGCTAGGGGTACCCCCTGGCCCACGAACACTGGACTGCCCCCCCCCCCTCCCCTGGCCCATGGACACTGGGCTATCCCCCCTCCCCCTGGCCCACGAACACTGGGCTGCCCCGGCCCATGGACACTGGGCTGTGCACTGGTGCAGGGCGACAGCACCTCACTTAATCATTCGATCAGATTTCACTGGCTGTGACTGAGCACAACTGTAAAGTAGTTGGATTGAAGTACAGTGTACAGTGTTAGATAATCATATGACAGCATTGCGATGTAGCCATCACTGTTAGCAAGAGTACAATCATAACCCCCGCTTGCTGTCAGGCATCACAGAAACACTGCCAGGCATCACAGAAACACTGCCAGGCTGCAAGGATGCACATAATCACACATACAGCAGGTGATCACCTCCAGGACGCTTTGCAGGTTAGCCAAACAAAGCGCTGGGGCAGCTGTCACACATACAGCAGGTGATCACCTCCAGGACGCTTTGCAGGTTAGCCAAACAAAGCGCTGGGACAGCTGGACGACATGGAAACGCGGTTGCGAAACAGACCTTTATTGTTTGACACACAAAGAGGGGTCATTGTTGCGAGAAGCAGAAAAGGCGGACAGAAATGACAGAAGGTAAGGATCAGGAGAAGATGAACTAGATCAACAAATAATTAATCAAGGCTACTCATAACGCACAGGAGCACAACTATGGCAGGCTAATAGAAAGGAGCTATCATACACATACTTATTGTATTAACTGTTACTGTCTACATTGCATTACTATCTACATAAGTAACATAACTGATAAACACAACGCTACTAAGCACATGGATCAGCGGTTTTAAAATCCAAACTAATCATGTAAACATGTACCAACAATCAACTAGAGTCAAGAATTTACTATAGTCAAGAATCAAGAGTCAACTAGAGTCAAGCGAAAACTAAAAACCAATCTTCAAAAACAAACAAAAGATCACTAGATGAGCGAGTAGACATTGACGCATACACGTGTGTGTGTGTGTGTGTGTGTGTGTGTGCACGCGCGTGCGTGCGTGTGTGTGTGTGTGAGAGAGAGAGAGAGAGAGAGAGAGAGAGAGAGAGAGAGAGAGAGAGAGCTGGCGGAGATGTTCTGAGTAAGCGAAAGATCTGCAGAAGGAATCGGCGTGTGCTAGGTATACTATGCACAGGTCAAGGCCCCCAAGTAGCACATCCTGCATGTAGCACATCCTGCATGTAGCACATCCTGCATGTAGCACATCCTGCATGTAGCACGGCATGGGAGCAGTGCACATGCCAAGCCATTATACATGTACATGCAGAAATAATCGAAGGACGCAGCTAACAGTTGCTTTCAGGCGCCATACACGTACTAACAAATCGCCACAATGACAACAGCATGCCACAACCGGCAACAAACAGCGGTACAGCAAAGTTACTGACTAAATTACTTTGAAGCTGCGAGATATAAAGCATAAATCCAGTGAATCTGTAAGGTCATGTAATGCGATAGTATTCAAATCAAGCTTATGCACGACCGCAACACTAATTTGAAACCAGTAACATTTGCAGATGCCGGCAGCCGCTTATAGATTCCACTTAGCTTTGAGTGCTGTTATGCAGTTACAGATCTTGAGGGCAGGACCCAGCCGCACGCTCATCAGCTTGACTAGCGTGTCCGGTGTCAGAAGCATCAGGGCCTTGCCATCAATATCCTAGCAGTGGTAGCAGAGCGAACACACACACACACACACACACACACACACACACACACACACACACGCACACACACACACACACACACGCACACACACACACACACACACACACACACACACAGCAGAAAAAAGGGAACAAAGAGCACTGTATTGTAGAAACAACATGTGTCTTTCACTCTTTCTGGAAGAAATGGTTCTAAACCCCATCACCAAGAGGGTGCAACTTCCAGTGCTATCCCATAGTACTTGTGTGCTCATAGGGAACATCAACATCGCATCAATTCAATGACAAAACAGATCACAGTATTACACTGATTCTTTTCTTTAACCCTTATCCGACCGGCCAGTCAAAAATCGACGACTATCCGTCGATGACTATCCGTCGATGACTTTAACAAGCTGTAACTCACTTATTTTTCATCGAATCTGCACCATTTTGGTCTCAAAAGAAGCTGGAAAGACCCACCATTCATTTGCAAAAGACCGGAGCGTCTTAGCATCTTTCAAAGAGAAGTTATAGGTCTCTGAGTGAGGTCTGTTTTCATATCGCGTACGAAACAAGTTTGCAAATGGTGCAACATTGGCAATGATTATATTGCCCTCCTAAAACTTTGCCTGGATGCTTCCCTGATGGTATATTCAAAATGTGTCAGCATGAAAGTACAAAATTAAGACTACAAATGGTCCACATGTCGATGAGCCGCACTTCTCTTCAAAAAATGGAATTGGAGATGGATTTTGTTCCTCTTACAAATAAAGGCTAGAAACTGCTTCTAGAGAATTCCTCATAGCTCAAGCTTTCTAAAAAGCCCAAGTTTGCCAATATCACCCAAGGGAAACTAAAGTTATCAACAAAATGAGTCGTGGTGTTTCGCTAGGACTGGGAATTTGTCCACTTTGACGGTCGGATAAGGGTTAATGAAGAAGTTTGATACCAGCCCTACAGATGGTGCATTAGTCATGACTGCCATGCATCGATGCACAACAAAAATCACTCGCCCGTTCAAACAGCTCAGAAAACACTCGCCCGCTCAAACAGCTCAGAAAACACTCGCCCGTTCAAACAGCTCAGAAAAGTGAGAAAACACTCACCTGATCAAACAGTTCACGTGCTTGATCAGCACAATCAGTGGAGTTCAAATAGTCCTGCACTTCGGCCACCGACCACGTCATGGGATTCCTATCGGGACCGCCCGTACCACTGGATGCATAGAGCGATGCGGCCGCTGCTAGCGCTGACGGCGAGGCGCTGGGAGAGGCAGCGGTGACCGCAGCCGCAACTGTTGTCGCCGAAGAGGAGGAGGGTGCTGATGACGATGACGGCGCTGCCAGTGCCGCTGGCGGTGGTAGTGGTGCTGGCGCCACAGCAGCCGATACCAACGCCTGTGCCTGGGCTGGAGTCATGACACTGTGGAATGCAGACGGCTGCTTGGCAAGTGGCGCTGCCATTGTACTAGGACTGGGCGCATGCGATGGCATGGCACTTGACTCGCCTGAGTACAGGGAATACACGCGAATGCATTGCAAAGAATCAAACACAATACAGAATTAAAAAATTAAATTATTGTTCACAAATTCGAAAATTTGATGTACAGAACAGTGTACATTTACACACCAGTATTCCAGAGAAGTGGATTTCCTACGTTTCGGTCATGAAATTGCTCCTATGCGGCCGATACTGGGCTCAACTAGTGCACGTGCATGCATGGATACAGCACATGTATGGATACAGCACATGGATGGATACAGCACATGCATGGCTACAGCACATGCATGGCTACAGCACATGCATGGCTACAGCACATGCATGGCTACAGCACATGCATGGCTACAGCACATGCATGGCTACAGCACATGCATGGATACAGCACATGCATGGATACAGCACATTCATGGATACAGCACATGCATGGCTACAGCACATGCATGGATACAGCACATGCATGGATACAGCACATTCATGGATACAGCACATGCATGGATACAGCACATGCATGGATACAGCACATGCATGGATACAGCACATGCATGGATACAGCACATGCATGGATACAGCACATGCATGGATACAGCACATGCATGGATACAGCACATGCATGGATACAGCACATGCATGGATACAGCACATGCATGGATACAGCACATGCATGGATACAGCACATGCATGGTACAGCACATGCATGGATTAGTCATGGCCCAAATTTGACCTGCCCACATCGATATTTTGCCGCATAATTTTGCCACAAACGTTTCGATATTCTGCTTGGCATTTCCTTTCTCCGTCGATATTTTGCTTTGGTTTTGCTCGAGATAAAATGAGTTTCAAGGAAAAATCAACAATAATTGTCGCTGATGACGAGGCATTTTTGATTGAGCTCCTGCTGCTGCTCAACTTTCTACAAAAATTGTGGCCATGAGTCTGTTTTGTCCAACTTTCGTGCTTGTTTTCAACTTTGGTGACTGATTGTGTTGAGAAAGTACCTGAGAAGCCTTGGATTTTCTCAAAAGCCCACCAAAACTCGATATTTTGCTCAAAACTTGCCGGCAACTAGCGCATCCGATATTTTGCTCAAAGAATTGCTAGCAAATTTGGGCTATGACTAGCATGGATACAGCACATGCATGGATACAGCACATGCATGGATACAGCACATGCATGGATACAGCACATGCATGGATACAGCACATGCATGGATACAGCACATGCATGGATACAGCACATGCATGGATACAGCACATGCATGGATACAGCACATGCATGGCTACAGTACATGCATGGCTACAGCACATGCATGGCTACAGCACATGCATGGATACAGCACATGCATGGATACAGCACATGCATGGATACAGCACATGGCAAACACAACGTGCAGTGACCAGGGTAACACCAGTGACATGGTAAAGCACCTGACAAAGCACACGTACGGATACTGCACCCCACACCACCCACACGCACCCACACGCACCCACACACACCCACGCAACCGAATGCATAGATCCCGAACATCCAATATGTAAGCTTACCAAGCACCGGTGAAGACGAATAGCTTGCCGCTGCCGCTGCTCCCATGAACTACATGACAACAGACAGAGAGAAAAGAGAGAAACAGACAGGGGGTGAAACACAGCTAACACAGAAGGCTGCAGAAGAGCTAGCCTTACCAAATGGAGGATACGCACACTGTCAACAAGAACGAATGTAAGTGCTATAACGATACCCCCACACACATACCCACAGATAGCGATACCCCCCCCCCCACACACACACAGATAGCGATACCCACCCACCCACACGCGGTTCCAAATGGCAACCGAAACAGAGGTAACTTGAGCAGTGGTGTGGGATGAGGGTGTGCTTCACCGTCAACGCATACACAATTGAGCCAAGGAATTCCAGCTCCTCTGAATACTGAGTTTGACAATAGGGGACCAGTGATGCCATGGGGGTAAGGATCAATGTCTGACATAACCCTGCAATGAATCAATGTCTGACATAACCCTGCAGTGAATGCTCACCTGGGTGTGGCTGGGAGGAGGAAGAATGGGATCATCTACAAACGGAGACACAGCAGGAGAGATCGCAGTCATTAACGAATACATTATCGTTAATCGAGTAGAAAATTAAACTGCAAAAAAGGAGCTCAAGACAGGGGAAGTTTGGGCGTATAGCCCACTGGCTTCTCAGCTTGAGGACTCCGGCAGAGGTGTACTTGGGCATGGTTTCAGTGCTGCCGGGAGTGTTTTCTCTCACTGCTACTACTAGGTTCAGCCTCATTCCTACATGCCACGCTGATGATTCCACAAGGCACGCAGCAGTCCGGTTCGCAGCATGGGGAGATCCGGGTGTGCATGTATAAAAACATTAAGTTCAACATCATCATCATTCTTTACAGTCAACTAAAGAACGAATGGGTGGTGACCGAGTGGTAAGACCTTTTTCATATGCACCTCTCGGCCAAACAACTTCACGTACAACAGCCCCCCCCCCCCCCCCCCCAACACACACACAATACTAGTAGTATAAAGCAGCATTAAAGCTACAAGCATCTGTACCTGCCATGGGTGCATCCGTAATATTGCCAATGCACAACGGGCAGCGGCCAGACGAGCCACGCGGTCGGATGAAGTTCTCGCAGCACTGCAGCTTCTGCAAGAGGCCGCTGATGACGTTCCAGAGCTGCACGTGGTGATCGACGTGCTGTATGTGCTTGATGAAGCGCTCGCCATTCTTGGTAGTGCAGTGCACTGTGGCGTTGCTATGACCACTCTTCACCTGCAACACACACATACACACACACACACACACACACACACACACACACACACACACACGCACGCACGCACGCACACACACACACACACAGTACATGTACAGACAGGAGAGATGCAGTACAATTTGCTGTATAGCAACATCCACAACTTCTCAGCGCCACTTTTAGCGCAGTGCGCAGCACGCACTATGCTAGTTGATGTAGACTTCTGGCAAACAAGCATGATCAGACGTACTCTCTGGTGAACGAGGTACACACCATGCCTGAAAACCTTGCCGTTGACAAGAGCGATGAATCAGCCAGCACAACGGTTTTACAACGACGGCTTCCATGTTATGTTGGCGTACAGTGAGTAAGTAGAGCACAACATATTCTTTACAAAGGGTGTCAATTGGCAGCAAACAGCAACATTACCTCCTGGAAGATGGCCATGGAGTTCTTTCCACAGTTGATTAGGTGTTGCAGAACGCACTGCAGAACTGCGGATACGGTCGAGCCGCACACCTCGCGTGGCAGGTGGTCCATTCTGGCGTTGTCCAGGTGCGGGCCATGAGAGCAGGCAATATTGAACACTGCCCGCGGAGCTCCTGCATTGCAACACGGCAACAGCAACAGCAGCAGCAGCAGACACAAGCATTGTGTTCATGAGCGTGCGTCCACCCAACAACACCACACACCACATACATGTAGCCCGGGACCCATTAGACTGAACAGTGAAACCTGTCCAAGGCGACCGACCGCTCAAGGGACCTTCAAAATGTGGTCACTGTGTACAGTTGGTCTCCTTACCCAGGGCCATTTTGACTGGAACTAGCACCAGTCAAAGGGTCCTGGTTGCAGTGGTCTTCTGGGACAGGTAGTCCCGAGTCCCGAGTGGTCATTTCGGCAGGTTTTAGTGTACTTTCGGCAGGTTTTGCTGTACTTTCGGCAGGTTTTACTGTACTTTCGGGAGTTCAAAGTGGTAAAACAAAAATCTCACGGTTCGCGCCTCGGCTAGAGGCCGAGTTTTCCGCATCCGTAGGAATGCCACCACCCTTCAAGGTTCAAAGTGGTAAGACCGCGGAGAAACTCACCGTCATATTTATCGCTGGAGAAGTACGAGTGTGAGGCGGCGCGTCCAGACTTTGGGCTGACCAGCTCACTGCCGCTGCTGTCACGTGACATCTTGGCATACGATGACGTACTCTTTTGGTCAGACTTGCGCTTTCCTGAAGTGGAGCAGGAAAAGGAAATGTAAAATGATGACAATTTCGAAGCGAACCGTCTTGATCATCTCTGAGCAGAGAATCACTTTGTGTAACAGTTACATAGTGAGCACCAGTACATAGCATACACCATGCATACACCATGCATACCCCTGAATGGCAATAGCATGTGCATGTAGTACTGATGCTGTGGACACAAGCCAAGCTAAAGATGGCGGCGGCGGCAGCCTAAGACAGTCACGAGAGTAACAATCTAACACTTACTGCTTTTTGGCGGAGACACCATGTACAGCTGGCTGTGTTCAGCAGGATTGTCGCCGTTGCTGGTATGGCTATTGGTGGCGAGGTTAGTGATACCGTTTGGTGCAGACGTGTGGCTGCTGAGGCCGCTACTGCTCTTAGTGCTGCGAGTGTTGTTTCCAGCGCCAGTCACTGGCTCTTTGCTAAACACAGTCAACACCAGAGCATTGCAAAGCACAGACACACAGGCATATGAGCCACAGAATCACACAATATCGACAGAAGAGCTACGGTGTTCTTATAACACGTGCATACATATTGTCCCAGTACAGTCAAACCTCTTTACTGACTTTAGGACGAACTTCAAGGGACTGAACAAGTTTGTTTGTCTTATCCGGAGTTCTTCTTATCCAGATCTGATAAAAAAATGATTTGCATATGGATTATATTCATGTGAAGGTGCATGCTGTGGCACATGTAAAGCATATATGCATAGCATAAGCCAGCAACAGGTCAGTACAATGAATATGTGCAATAAATTCATGACAGCATGTCCTCCGCCTTGTAACATGCTGTCAATTCGTTTTGCTCATACAAGAGGTCTCGACTATCGAAAGAAAGAAAAAACTACAGCCAGCGCACGCACGTGGACCGAAAGTTCATACTACGAGCTGATTTGTTCAAATCACGCTTGAAAATAGTTCGCCGTACAGGAGTTTGTCGTAAACGAATAATTTCGAATTGATTTGATGCTTGATCAACCAAAGGACTGGCCTTACTGTAAGACATGTATATATAACGAGGAAGCAAATCTAACGTTTTAACGGATGACATTTCTTCGTTATAATAAGATTCGTTGAGGCCGTACTGCTTCATATATGCTGTGTGTGGATATGGCAGAATACTGCAAGATCGTTAACATATCTTCTCGTTAACCTATGAATTTTTGACAATCGTTAAATTTGCGACTCGTTATAATAACATGTCTTACAGTAGTTCATAATAATGGAAAGTTCGCCTTATCAGTGTTCGTCCTAAAGATGTTTGATCGTACATCCAGCTCAACAAGTACATGCAGTGCCATACAGAGAAGTCAACGTACATGTAGAGTAGGTATAAAATCAAGCTGAATGCATAGAGAGTAGAACCTGGAAAATCTCTAGATTGAAGACCCTTGAATGAGCACAGGTGGGGCTAGTCCCCTGGGTATGCGTAGTCCTCAGGCTCCTCCACTGTATGATTCTACATGTACTGTGAAACTTCTATGTGTCCATTGTTCAGTTCAATGTAAGCCAGATCATCTTACCTCTCCGTACTGCCATCCATAAGTTCTGCCACTATGAACACACACGCACACACGCGCACACACGCACACACGCACACACACACACACACACACACACACACACACACACACACACACACACACACACAGAACAAATGCCAAATGCACGAAGTTGTCATCAAAGAGCAGAAAGGGGTCATCCACAATAGTTGCCACATACTAGTACTAGTACTCAACATTCCAGTGGTTTAATAATGCGTCCTTTAGCAACGTTATCAAGAGGGTATAAATATGAGAAATTCGAAAGCATGGGATGCTAATAGATTCAACTCAATGCACCTTGATTCCACGGCAACACAGAGGCAACGCAGCAACTTACAGTCATCATCCGGCGGTGTCTGCAACAGGTACTCATGTTGCATACACCAGCCGATCGGGAAGATGTTCAGACTGCTGTAGTCGGCCCAGTAATCAAACTCGGTCGACCAGCCGTCGAAGTGGATCAGCACCTGGCTGTTGCGCACATCGCTGATGGTTGCAACGCACACCAGCGGTGCATTGTAGACGTCCATTGCTTCGATTTTCATGCCAGGCAGGAACATGTTGTTCTGTACAGCAGTGTTAACCAGCAACAACAAAAATTGTTCACGGGGCAAATCGACAAAAAGACATGGTGCCGAGCCATGCTGTAGCAGGAGCAATGCTGGTACAAGATCTGCAGCACTCTTGGAGCAGGTTACTTGTATCTACCGGTATGTAAATAGTCTATTAAGCCATACTTGACCCTATTCAGGTGAGCCAAATATGGAGAGACAGCCAAAAAGGAAAGCAAACATAATATCCAGAACCAAAACCAACATTTCAACATTTCTTATCATAGCTTTAGCACATGTACACATTTCACCCTTGAGTACTCTCTCAGCCTTGAGTACTCACGGTCTTTGTGAACAGCTCAAAAGCTGCAGCCTTGGACTCAGTGAAAGAAAGATAGCTACTCCAGTCAAAGTAAATCTCATCAACACCTGGAGTTGATAACAGACCAAATAATGACCAGCCAAACACCATACACGTACTGTTCAAACCACTGCAATAGGAGGCAACAAAGATGTAGCATCATCACATCACCCCTATTCAATGGAGCTCATAATACTTGAGCACCATTGTCATACCAGAACCCTCCTCTCTCTCAGAGTCCCAGCCTGACCTACGGACCATTGGCATTGCTCTAGTACCTCATTGCAGCTCCACACATGATTGTATGAGCACTCCACACAATAATATCCTTCGGCAAACATCGCCATCATGTTCATCAGATAAGAAACAATTGTCTTCCCAAAGAACATTGGCCAATTTCGTTTCATATTACCGTGAGCAGAAGATAAAATCTCGGTTCCTAGCCACGAGCTAGTTTAAGGTTGGTGTAACTTCCACAACTTCATGTACATGACTGTACTGTAAGAACTAAGAACGAATGCCCTACTGAACATAACCCTACTGAACATAACCCTACTGAACATAACCCTATTGGACTATACCAGTTGTGCACGCAGGCACATGAGTTAATCAGTGCCTACACACAGTGACACACACACACACACACACACACACACACACACACACAAACACACACACACACACACACACACACACACACACACAGTGACACACACACACACACGTGTGCACACATGGTCACTGATGTCTAGTACAGCACCACGCACAGGATTGGAATGGTTAAGGGCAGTCCTACCTTGAGGTGGTGTCAGCTTCAGCTGTTTCCACTCGCAATAGCGGACCGGATGCAGCATCGGCGATATCATTTCCAAGGTGACGTGGTCCTTGTCATCATAACCATCTAAGCCCACCTCTATCGTTCCAGCGTCAGCGTTGACCTTGGCTATGGTGGCGACATGGAACGTAGAGGCTGGCGTTTGGTCCATCTCCTCTTCTTTGTTGACGGCCTCCACTGATTCCTTGGATATACCTTCATTGACGTTGTCAGCCGGTACCATGGACTCAGTTTTAGGTCTACTTACACTAGCACCTTCCCCAGTACTGGAGGCAGTAGATGTAGAAGCGCTGGGACTCTCAACAGCACGACTGCTACTACCTGCAGCATCATCCGGTTTGGCGTCTTCTGCACTTTCTGTCTCGGCTTTGGCACTCTCTGTCTCGGCTTTGACACTCTCATCGGCTGCTGCTGCTTTCGTATCATCACTTTCCACCTTGGCCGTAGCTTCTTCACTGGTAGGATTTTCTTCAGTTTTAGCCGGAGCAGCAGCTGTTTCATCGCTCTTTGTGGTATCTGCATCAGTGCTGTCAGAAGCAGTAGTGGCAGCAGCAGGCGCCGGTGGTTTATCCTCACTGCTTGCAGCTGTAGCATCCGTCTGTGCAGAATCGCCGGTTCCAGCCTCCGTCTTGATTTCATTCGTGGTCGCAGGGTTGGCGTTCTGTGCATTGGTATCTGCTGGCTCCGTCTTGAGTGCTTCGTTGCTGGCCTCCGCTGTAGTTTTGGTCTGTACAGCATTCGCAGGTGAGCTTGATTCCTTGGATCCAGTCTGAAGTGCAGAGAGAAGGAAGAAGTAGAAGAAATCGTACACACGGTGTACATACAAGCTGAATGAAATACTGGTAACTGGTGATGAGCAGTGTTGAGAATCCCAGAGAGACAATTAGAATACACTATAGGACAGGGGAGAACTGATCACACAATACACACCAGCTTGAGTTTCAGCTCCTCGAGCTATTCAAATGAATAACCTTAGCTGAACACCGTCGTACCTCTCTCTGTCTCTCTCAGTCTCGTTCTGTCTCTGTCTGTCTGTCTGTCTGTCTGTCTCTCTCTCTCTCTCTCAGTGTCTCTCTCAGTGTGTGTGTGTGTGTGTGTGTGTGTGTGTGTCTCTCTCTCTCTCTCTCTCTCTCTCTCTCTCTCTCTCTCTCTCTCTCTCTCTCTCTCTCTCTCTCTCTCTCTCTCTCTCTCTCTCCTCCCCTCAAACCGCACTGCAGCTGACCTTGACGGCTGGAACCTCCAACTCCAGCTTGTCACCAAGTTCGAAACAAGCAGTTGGATGCAGGCTGGGCATGACGAAAGCACTGCTGGGCACGGACTGGGCAGTTTCCAGCAGCTGTGCTAGGTACTTGTCCCAGTCACCCTTCACTTCCTCAAGCGCATCTGCAACCACAGGGGCCATACAGTGTTACACACACACACGTACAAGCAGACACCAAGAACAGGTCAAGCAGGGAGACGTGGCCACCAATGCACACGGTGTGCACGGCCAGGTAGCACACTCCTGAATGAAAACACTCATCGAAACACACAGCCCAAGGCATAAAGACTGTCACACACATCGGGAAACTTACACACAGCTTCGTTTTTTTCTAAAAAACCAAAAGCAAAATGACTAGTGGACTGGTAAGTAATCTAGTGACTAGTGAACTAGTGTCAAGCCTGACCTTTATGCGGTACAACGCGAGCTCCGACGCTTTTCGCCCAGCCAAGCGGGTGCATGTCCGGCGAGTCGACAATGCGCACCAGAGCATCGTGATCTACGGCGCAGCCATCGATCAGCATGATCAGATGCAGGCCGAACAGCTTGTCAACCGTGACGATGTGACAGTCTTGGGGAGAGCCATCCACCAGTCCAGAGACCTCCAGCTTCATGCCAGCTAGAAACCGGCTGGGCGTATCAGCGGGGAACACCCTCTGCAAAGCAACAGCACGCAGAGCAGTAGAATGAGAACATGTTTTGCTGCAGGCCATAGTTGCATGCAGGGTCAGAGGTGAACCCATCCACATGATGGCATACTCCCGTCAAGGGATTGCCGCCACCAAACAAAATGTCCCTTCATCTAGGTACCTTCAGGACTAGAGAATGTCCATACCCCACAACAGACTAAATATCAAGAGATCAAACATTGTTGAAAGTTCCCTATCTCCGTATAATGACATCGTTACCAGAAATGCAACTTCAAAAATCAAAACAATTGCGCTTGCAGCAGTGACTCACCGGCGCAAAGCAGTACGTTGGTGCTGCAATGGCACCGCAGTCCACCAAGTAGTCCTGCCAGTCGAACTGCACCTGCTCCGGGTACAGCAAGCCATTGTTGATCGTTGTAGCTTGTACTGAGAGCAACACAAGGATCATGCCAACAGTAACCAAACAGTAAGCAACAGTGATCACATGCAGATCAGGATGAGCAATGATCATGGGAATGACGATCAACAGTGATCACGGGGGATGGCAATCAGCAGTGATCATGAGGACGGGGGCAATCAGCAGTGATCATGAGGACGGGGGCAATCAGCAGTGATCATGAGGACGGGGGCAATCAGCAGTGATCATGAGGACGGTGGTCAGCAGTGATAGCACACAGCAAGCCAGTGTGAAAATAAAAAGAAAGATTGACAAAGGAACCTTGACGACGTGTCTGAACAATCAATGCACACAGTGTGGCGTATGCTATTTTCACAAAGCTGTGTGTATACTGTATACTGTATACTGTATACTGTATACTGTACGCTATACTGTACGCTGTACTGTACGCTGTACTGTACGCTATACTGTACGCTATACTGTATACTGTATACTGTACGCTGTACAATATACAGTATACAGTACAGTCGAATGTCACTTATCCGGTCGCCAGTTATCCGAGCACGTCGGTTATCCGACAAGCCCGGGAGTGGTAATTTTATGACTCAACAGTAAAATTCTTAATTTTTTTTCTTTGTATATTATACGGTGTAATATGCATTTACTTGAAGTAGATGTGGTCAAGTATGCTAACATGTATGTGTACATGGAGCAATTCATGAATATGCATGAATATATTTGGGTATTGTGTACACAAATCAGTGAAATCCAGCCATATATGCACATAAAAAATGATATCAGTTATCCAACATGCCTGATTCCCCGAAGTGGTCGGATAAGTGACATTCGATTGTACTGGTATAAGGCGGAAATAAGCAGGTACAGAAAACCTGTCAAGGCGACCACTCGGATAATGCGACCACCTAGCCTAGAGGACCACAAATCTAGGACCGAAGGGTATCACTTCAATGACCCTGGACCAGCTGTGCACGGGGGCCAGGTTTTAGGGGCCAGGTATTGAGGGCCCGTGAGCGGGCGGCTTAGACAGGTTTCACGGCCTGTGTTCCCACTCAAGAGTTTCATGCACATGCTGCTCATTGCTCCCCAAACAGATGCCACTGAGCTAACACTGGCAGTAGGTTGCTAGCAAAGTGCAACACAGGCGCGTGCCCCGTATGGGTGCCTGGGTGCCCGGAACCCCCCCCCCCCTTTTTCGCTCAAAATGCAGGATTTTGCTTCATTTTTGAAAATTTTTCCCAGGGGAGGCCCCCGGAACCCCCCCCCCTTGAAGGGCACCGGCGCACGCGCCTGCAACATGTGGTGCTTAGGTCTGATGCACTGCCAAGGAATAGTGTGCAAGCGGCAGGAAAGCAGCGGATGGTGAACCCAGTGCACAGTCGTTCAAAGTAGTTACAGTAGCTGTTCATTGGCTCATCAAAAGCCGTCATACGAGTATGCTTTGCAGTAAATCATGCTGCCACAAAGATATAGCTAACCTTCTTGAGATGCCGGTTGTGATTTACGGCGTGAGCGTTCAGTGGAGGAGCGCGCCGGTTTGGGCACACGCTTGCGCTGCACAAGAGAATAAAGATGTTCAGAGCCATGACCCCTGACCAATACCAATACATACCACACGTATACTGCAACCAGCACGTGATAAGCACAAGCTGTGTGCAGCAGCCAACATTGCCAGCTGAGAAAGGATATCTCTGCACAAGCAGCTGCAATGACTCGACTTATGGCAAACGCACCCACGAATCTGCACATCCATGCCCCCCCCCCCCCCACACACACACACTGGCACAGCGGCTGTGTTACAGAACGCCACGTACATACACGGTACGTCGATGGTAACACCATGACATGGTGTTGCCATCGACGTACCGTTGTGTCACACTGCCTGCCATGCATGCCAACACACACACGCGCGCGCGCGCGCACACACACAGACACACACACAGACACACACACAAACACAGACACAGACACACACGCGCGCGCGCGCAGTATAACCCAGTGTAGCACAGTGTTGGGTACAGCAATGACGGTGCAATACGCACTACTACATGGCTCTACTGCTATGTACCCAGCTGCATTTTTACTAACGCAACAATCAAACCACTAGATGGAATAGTGTACACTATACTATACGACACTAGGCACTTTGCCATGGACTGTAGGCACTCTGCCATGGACTGTAGGCACTCTGCCATGGACTGTAGGCACTCTGCCATGGACTGTCCGACATCGAACATCATACATGTACACTGCATATTTCAGGCGCGTACGCAGGGTCACCTCCAGGGGAGTTTCCAACTGAATCCCAAAGAATGAGTTTTAACCCTTTGTAAAGAGCCCTAGGAAATTTTGAAAATTATAAATTTTTTCGTGTTCTTTTGATCATAACTTCGGTTCTACTCTCTCAATCTTCATTATCTTGGGCTTCCTGGAAGTGGAAAGGTACCTGGGAGAGAATTAGGTCGACCATGATAGCCAGGACACAGTACAGTCATGTACATATCCAGCGATAGCGGTGGAGTGCAGCGACGATGCGAAAGGCCCAAACGCGTCCTGCTCCAGCGATTTCGTTTTTCTTGATCGCAGACTTTTGATTTTTTGCTGTGTACTCTTGAAAATATCACAAGTGCAGTGAAGCACCTGGAAATTTGAGTAAGTCAGGGTGACGAAAAGTCTCAAATTCTCGATACTCAAGTCGCTCTGCGCGATTTTGAAATTGCCGAGATCGTGGCTCAACTTACAAATGATTTATCTCAAGAGACATAGCTCGCAGCGCGTCACAAATTGTTTCAACCGACAGCTGAGAGTTTTCTATTCGACCTGGATATTTGGATCGTTGGATTAGAACGAGATTTGACTGAGTTACGATCTGTTGAAGTTTCGCATTCTTGCCAGATCGATCGTGCGCCCTACCAAAAAAGCCCAAAAAACGTTGCTCGTTTGGAACATTTGGGGGGTTTCTGGGCAACGGGAACCCCCCCCCCCCCTGCGTAGGCGCCTGCAGTTATACTACCAACCTGATGCGATGCTGAGTAGCGGTGACAGCAGCCCACCGAGCAAAAGCGCTTTGTGCCCGAGTAGAAGTCGCCGCTCAAGCCTTTCTGATGACAGTACTCGCACACTCTGACCTCGGACGGATCACCAGTTGCAGCTGGCTGCGGTGCCATGGCAACAAAACCTGTGCTTGTGCAACACCATTCAACACCATTCAACACCACACAGTCACATGACTCCGTTAAACAGTCAATACGGGCAAGACACTGTCCCCATGTGCTTGATTCCCATCGACTATAATTCACTTCAGCTTCAAATACATGTACCGTGAAATCCCGCCAGAGCGCCCCTACCTCCGCCACCCTTCGAGTAGGTCCAGGTGGGGAGGGGTGGATCGGCGAGTCCTACTTACCGCATTCAGTACTACATGAAAAAGTACTCACCCTACGAAAACTGTTCGTGCATCTCGTACACCGACCAAAGGTCAAAAGCCAGGAGTCGTACAGACCCATCAAAACTCAGGGTTTGTGCGATCCCTGGTCAAGAGGGTGGGCACTGCTGCGTACATTTCCAACGGGGTTGAGCACCCGTCTGCAGTACAGTACGGCATCACAGTCATACGAGGATACAACCAATCACTTCCAAGACAAGAAGTCAGGGAGGGGCGGATGGGAGAGACGGGGCGCTCTGGCGGGATTTTACGGTACATGTAATGGATTTGCGAAAAATTGCATACGGATAATCTCAAAACCGAACAGGATAGAGAGCAGGCTGTTGTGCAACAACTAAACTCCAGATTCAACAACAACTTTTGACAGTACCAAGGGTAAACAAGCTCTCAAGAGTGTGTAACTTTGCATACAGTGTCTCCGACGGCGGAAAACTCACATCACGTAGTCCAAGTACGATTGCACTGCATACAACGAAGGCTAGCGTGCACGCAGTCCGAACATCTGCCATGATCATTCTGATGATTCGCATAAAGCGGAGTGGGTTTCTGTCAGGAGTGCTATTATTTTCAACTCCACTGGTCGCTAAAACGGGCTGGGGGACGTACACCGGGAACACTACACCGGCCGATGTGAGTTTTCGCCGTCAGCGGACCCCATAAAAAGGGTACCAAGAGTTGCACACTCTTGGGAGCTTATTTACTGTTGATAGGGCCCATTCGAGAATACTCAAATTAGAAGTACATGTACTAGCTAGTTTGAAGTTTGAAGTAGAAAACCAGTTCACTGATGGATGAAGATATGCAATATGGGCAGGTGAAACGTTGGCTCATTCATGCACTGTTTTCGAATCAATATCAGCTCTCCACTAACTGTTAGTACCAAATGTATGTATTACAGACAGTGTACCTCACGTCTTACTGAGTCTAACACACACACACACACACACACACACACACACACACACACACACACACACAAACACACATGCACACACGTGCACACACATGCACACAGACACACACATAAACGTGCATGCACGTGCACACACATACACACACATGCACATACACACACAAACGTGCAAGTGCGCACACACACGCACACACACACACACACACACACACACACACACACACACACACACACACACACACACACACACACACACCATGTACACAAACACACCATGTACATGTAGCATGCACACATACCTACATGTATTACCATGTACATGTAGCATGCACACATACCTACATGTATTACCATGTACACAAGGATGTACAGACACACCCATACACGTACACTCCTATAGTGTGGTGTACAGTGAACGAGCACACAATAAAGTCAAATAAATTTACAACTTATTTGACAACTGAAAACGAAAATTGGGTGTGGGAGAAAGAAGTGTACGATGGCATCGCACTTCATTGCGGTCTATGTCCGTATTTACAGATCACCATCACCATTATCATAATGTCATACATGTACATGTACTCGCATCTCCCAAGCTCTCTCAGGTCATCCGAAATGTTCAAATCAGGTATTCGCATTTTTACGATGTATCTCAAATTCAATACGCGATTTGCATTTCGTAGGAAATCTTTGCGGAGAGAAGCAAGCACTTCGCACGGACTGAGAGCTGGTCACAATAGCAGGTGCATAACCAAAGAGAGTGTAGAGAAACATACAAAGCAACAGGGTTACCTGTCGGTCCCTCATTTGCTCCGTTATCTCCACCGTGATGGTAGGGCGACGCACCTTCGCTGTGTGCGCGACGACCCATGGCTCTTTTCAGTCTTCAGTCGGCCAGGCACAATGAACCTGAGCCGACAGCACCGGTGCCCGGCGAAAGGGGGCCAAGAAACGGCGAAGACCAGTCTCTGCTTTCGGATTCCACCGCCTTGTCCGTGTTCAGTGATCAGAAAATCAGAAAACAACTCGAGCCCTCTGATGCGGTTGGGCGATGGTCAAAACCCACGAACAACTAGCGAACGAAGATTTGAATGCCAAATCGTTCCATAACAATTTCTGCTCATAGCTGCAACTCCACTATTCCAAGAAATCACCGGGAAATACTCATGCATCCAATCACTAGAGTAACAATGACACGCCTGAGCTCCTCCTGAAGTGCGTCTTTTGCAAGAAATCAACCACAGACAAGAAAACGGATTTCCTCCCGCCAGACCACATTGCAGATTTCCTCTGGTCAAAGCGTGGGGTCATCAACCTTTGTGACGTTTGTGTCGTGGTCTGTGATTCAGCAATCAGCATCCACTTGATGCAGCAGCAGATGCGACTCGATCTACGGCGGCGCGGAGTCCAGCCGACCTCGGATCCAGTTCCTGTACATTATCAGCGGATGATGTCATAATCACCAAGGATACTGAAAATGGCGTCGGATGGGGGCATGCTGTGAAGCTTCGAAGGTGCGAAAAGCTGAGAAAATGTGAACAACAATGCATGCAGCCGATATCTTCCAATTTTTTTGTTGAACTACCTGCAGTTTCGGAGCTTCTCTATCCTATTGAAAGCTGTAGTAGCGTTTCTCTTTCCTTGACGTAGCGTTATATAAGCATGAAATGGGTAGGAGAAAGGACAAATCCGACGTGACAAGGGGCCCTGGAAAGAGTGCTCGTCGACAGCAAGATCCTGATCTCGCTGAACGTAAGTCACTACCCAGAATTGTTGAAGACTATTGAAGTTTCTGAGTTCGAGAGTGATCTGATTCGTATCCATGTCACGATCGCAGTTCTTGGCCAGAAGCCTATTGGAGATAAAAAGAAGAAAGATTCATCGGCTGCGAAGAAACCAGCCAGAGGGAGGAAGTAAGTGGAGTTGTTTGATCAAAATCTTTGTCATCGTTCCAGTTCTATAAATGTATCGAATACGTGCATAGCTTTCTTGAAGAAATGCACGTACAATTTAGGATTGCTCTTCGTGAAATGTATATACACAGCCATATGATGTTTCGACCAACTACAGAAGAGAGCATGAGTATCGATTGAAGTGTCTCCCATCAGAAATGGAACCTGTTGTGTGGTATGTCTACTCGTTTATACAGTTCTTCGATAGGTGACCAGATTCAGGAGGGTACATGTACTAGTAACAGGATTGTGTGATGGGCCGTTGGTGACTCCTTCAAGCAAGGCACATATACTTGTGGTACAGTAGTTGTAATTACTCGGTGGCATGTGGTATTAATCCTCTGTTGGTAAAAGTAATACTGCACAGCAGGTGATTCGCAATTAGTTACTAGGGAGGTTCTGCTATACGTGAAACCAAGAGTGCATAAACAAGAGTATGCAACTGTGGTTATGGGCCAGTGCGCGGCGCGCTTTCATTACGTAACTTGCCTCCATCACGCTCTGAAAGCATGCACTCAAACCGACAATTTCTCGTACGAGCCCATCCGTTTTTGCTCGATTTATTCCAGTACCTACGCGATCTCTAAATTTTGGCACGTGAACTCCAGTTCCGTACGAAAATTCATTTCAAACCAGAGGGAAAGCGCAGTGTTTAATTTTCCGCAGTACACAGACTGCAGCTGAATGATGTAACGAAGGCAGCGCGCCGTGCATCTGGCCCATAGAAAAGAGATCACAGTTGCATACTCTAGTTTATGGACTCTTGGTGAAACGTAGAGAAATCACGTAGAGAGCAAGTGCCTGGGTTAGAGTCTACGGCTTCGCATGCTTTGGGTCCAGATTTCTACGCGTAGATGAGGTTCTCTACGTTGTGGCACACGCAAAGAAAATGCGTACGGATCTGCTGGGTATCATTCGAGTGCAGGCAGAAAACTGCCAAATATGGAAAGGGAAATTCCCAGTACACATTCCACGTGACTTCTCTACGTGAACGTAGAGCAGAACAGGGTTTCTTTACGTTACGGGAACGCGAAGAGTTGGCGTAATTCTTTGCGTCGCGTTCCCGTAACTTAGAGCAGAACCTCCCTACTAATAACTTGTGATACGTTACCACTGCTCATTGGTGTGTAAGTAAATTGCTGACCAGACCGGGCTGTATCCTTGTTTTTTATATTGCTAGGCGTCGTCATGGAGACGAAGCAGAAAATGATGTCACTGGTAAGCATGATGTCAGTATCTTGTGTTGGTGCTCTGATCGCATCCTCATCCTTCCAGTTTCCCGATCTTGCAACTGCACAGCGACACTGTTACAATGTTCCTCGTGCCTGTGTTGCATGTTCTTGCAGTCAAAGTGATACTTGGTGCGGGTGTTGTGTCATGTCATTCATTTTTGAAATCTCAGGGAAATGTTGGCGTAAGGCCGTGGTCACACCGAGCCCGATTCAGTCGTTCAGCGAAAAAAAGCGCTTTTTTCGGCTGAGGTTTCCACGGAAACGGCTGAAAATCAGGGCACCAGCCACTTTCAGCTTTCAGCCCTTTTGGAAGTGCTGAAAAGCTGAAAGTGGCTGTATAAGTTTGGCTGAAGTGCAAGAGGAGTTGAGTTGACGTTTGTTGTAGTCAGGTAGTTTCTTCCCACGTGGAGATTCAAAATTAGGACGTAGTGTGTATGCAAATCACGCATACTGGGCACAGGGGTCATCCTCCAAATAAAGAAAAACCTGGGAAAACTCGCGTCAGCCAGTTTTGGTGTGCCCGTCAGCTGGCTAGTCGCAAGCCACTTTCAGCGCAAGCCAAAAACGGCTGAACTTGGTGAGACCTCGGCCTGATATTGTTCCCAATCATTCATAAGGGTATTTCGGTGACTTTCCACAGTTATACTTAGGCCATCATTTTTTACATCTATGTTTCGCGTCGTCCGCGCGCATACGTTTTAATTTTTTTCGGAAAAAAAATTGAACATGCACAGTGAGTGTACGATCGTGCGAGTCATCAGTGCAGTGCAGACTGGTTCCATGCGGCGAAGCTGGGATTCAGAAATGGCCTTGAGGCCAGCGTTGGTAAATCGTTTGTTCGGCATCTGCGAGCAGTACTATTCTATGAACTAACTTACACCAGACCGCATTGATCGCCTCAAGCTGAGAGAATGCGTCGTTCCGGAGCTCTTTGCACCGCTACCGAAGTCTGAGTACAATATTCCAGCGAAGCATGGGCACCAACAGTTGCCTCCTCTGTCCAAAGTGAATATTTAGTATTATTTACTCATGCTGATAACCCATATTTTGTGCTTCGATGTACGATTTTTCTTTCGCATGTACATATGTGCTATGTACACTAGGGGCATGATCGATTGGGCGAATCCCGAGCAAGTGTGCTCAGAGTGAGCGTGATCGTTTGGTCGAATCCGGAGTAGGTGTACTTGGAGTGGAATCCGACCACACCGGCCCCCACACCGGGAGTGGCTGGAGTGGAAATGGACTTTGCCGTTTTTGGACAACTTTCACAGAATCTTTGTACGATATGCGTACATTTTGCGTACTACACCCTTGTTTTGTTCGATTGGGCCAGCGTTGCTCGGACCACACCGCCTGCTCGCACTCAATCCAGATTCGCCAATCGATGACACCCCAGTACTTTACACCTCCGATAAGCCTTTTTTTATTATTCTGCAACTTTTTATTTTTTCCCACCTCTCGCATATGATTCTGGAAGTTGAACTGACGCGAAACATAGATATAAAAAATGATGGCCTTATAGCTCACGCAGTTATTCCATTGGTAGCTTCCTGTTTGGAGGTATCAACTAACTGACAGGTATCCGAACAGGATCTCAGTGCGGCCCTGTTTTGTTTTGCTTCATCTCTTGTGTGTGTATCTGTCTGTGTGTGTGTGTCTGTGTGTGTGTGTCTGTGTGTGTGTCTGTGTGTGTGTGTCTGTGTGTGTGTCTGTGTGTGTGTGTGTGTGTGTGTCTGTGTGCAGTGTCAGATGGTGTAGTATCATTTGAAACCGAGACAGAGCCGTCGAAAAAGAAATCGAAGCAGCAGCAGAAGAAGAATAAGAAGGCCAAAGTACCAAAAGAAACCAAGAAGGCAGGAAAGAAGGTTTGTATTATCACGGCTGTTGTGTTCTTGTTATCCGCAGTATGCCATGTCTAACAGTTTGTCCGACTATCTTTCTGTTTCCCAGTTTGATTCAGAATCTGAAGAGGATGACGAAGAACAGTACTCGAAAGGGCAGTAAGTCTTCGTCTTGTTTTTCATTTCCTTTTACAGCAGTCACTTGTGAACTCATTTTGGTTATTATATTATGTTATGCTTCTGTATTATTAAGTGTAGCCTTGGTGGATGCCTTTCGTCGTGTGTGTGTGTGTGCGATTGTAGCATGTGTAATTTTACACCTCTTTGGTAATCCTTTGTATGCTGTGGTGTTGTTTCGGCTTGTCTGCCACAGTGACAGAAGCAACAGTGACTGGCTGAAGCCAGCTGGCAAGAAAGCCAATCCATTCGAGGGTGGTGATGATGATGATGACGAAGATGACATCATGCTGGTATGTTGCTTGTAGTTGTGTGCCGTCTTTAGTGTGTGTGAGTTTGAACTTTCTTGAAGTTTTGATAGTTTTCCATGCCCGGTTTGCCTACACTGTATGTGCGTATTGTCAATCTGTAGGCTTTCTGCATGTACCGTAAAGTACCGCCAGAGCACCCGTCTCACGAGAGCGCCCCAACTTGATTTTACAGCCAGGGAAAGGAAAATCGTATGGCAGAGTGCAACAAAATTTGTACGGTGTGAGACACGCTTAGCATGTTTTGTGTGGGCCTCCGCGGTAAACTGAGTACGGATTGACTGCGCAGCGTGCAATGTGTGTACAAGGTACGTGCCGCACGACCTTCAGACAGGACACCACCTCCACAGCACGACCACGAAAGGACGAGTTGGTGGGGCGCTCTGGCGGTACTTTACGGTATTCAGATATGATACCGGTATGCTCGTGCCATGCTGTCTAAAATAACTTTACAGTATTCAGATATGATACCGATATGCTCGTGCCATGCTGTCTAAAATAACTACTACTGTAAACCCTGAAACATTTGTGCCCGTTTTAGTTCGCGATTTGCAAACACAGGCTGATTTGCACCTGGTGATGTTAGCGATTTTTATAGTCACTTTCCTCAGTTTCTTTACTACAGTTCCACGTTTCGCGCCGGTTTACTTTGCGATTTCACACCCATCGCGAAAACCGCAAAGTATTCCGGATCGCAGAGATTTCGGGTTTACAGTAGTAGTAAGTACTTGAAGTAATAACTGCTCAAATTGGCATATATATCACCAAGAGTACATAACCCCCCAGAGTGTGCAACTCGACTATGGTTGCTGTCCCGACAGAATTTCAAGGTGACGTCATTTTGATGATGCAATGCGCACTGTACACGGATTATCAGACGAATCCGGAACCTGTGGTTGACCGAAGCCGATCGATCCTGTACAAATTATTGCAAAGAAAAACGTGTGATGCGTTGACACCCGTACACATGTAAATCACTGGTGCAAGGAGCATTGCGTCATAAATAATGACGTCAACTTGAAATTCTGTCGGGACAGCAGGGTATGTGGGAGTTGCACACTCTGGGGGGTTATGTACTCTTGGTATCACCCAACAGAACTTTGTCACTATTCTTACTGACCGTAATGTCGCGTATTAAACCCGGGCTTTTTCCTATAGAAGCCGATGTCAGGGCTAGGCTTATATTCACATCAGGCTTCTAATCAAACCAGGTACTTCTATGCGTGTTAGCACTAAAACCAGGCTTATGTACCGACAGTGCACTTTGAAAATCAGGCTTCTATATGAGATAGGCTTTTTAAAATACAAGAAGACACTACGGCATGTGCTTTAGTACATCCTACTTGATATGTGGCACTGCAGGGTGATGATTTCGGTGATGGAAGTGACGCTGGCAGCGACGGCGAGGTGGATGGCGCTGCCCCCGACAGTGACGGTGCAGATGTCGATGGAAGTGATAGCGATGATGACAGTGACAGTGGCGAAGCGGTAAGTGCACGAACTTCAGACACAGTTCAGCATTCTGCCATGATTTTGGTGGGCAGGTTTACTTTACTTTATTGTAACTCTACTCCATAGGTGCGTGCAAGTAGATCTGTGCATTTGTTTACCGAAGAAAGTGCACCAAAATCCTGTTGGCTCTGACATTGGCATATCCTTGCTTTCTTCTTTCTTTGTTCTGTCCTTCCTACTTCCAAGTACGGTGGATGCACCAAATCTCACGATATTGTCGTGTAACTTTGGGAACCGATTTTGCTGGTGTGTGTGATTTCTATGTTTACGCAGCTCCCCATTGAAAAACAATCAAAGAAACTGGATAGACGGAAAGCTCGTGATGAGTGAGTAGCATGTTTTTTCTTCTTGTTACTGTTGTTCGGCTTGTTCGCGTTCACCTTCAATGAAGAACTGCATCGACTTATACTGTACTGTGTTTGATGTTGAATTTATACTGGGAATATGGGAGTAAATTTGAACTAGCGCAGCCCAATTTCTTTTCTATGACCTCAAACAAGACTCACAGTGTTATGTGCTTTACTCTCTCTCTCTCTCTTTCCTTGGTGTTTATGTGTGTAGGAAACTGGCAGCTGCTGAAATGCGTGCGAAAACTGACGGCGGTGACAAAATTTCTTTGCCCACAGAGGAAGAGCTTGAAAATGAAGGTCGGTCTTTGTTGACTTCTTTCTGAGTAGCGGCTCTAGTCTCAATCTCTCTCTCTCTCTCTCCCTCTTGATCGCTATTTACCGTCTCGTCATTGTCTACTGTAACATATTTTGGAAGTTTTAATATATATGTTGGAACTAATTTTGGCTGGGTACGGTTAAAGGGGAAGTTAAGCCTAAAATCAAATTTTCACCAGTTGTAGTCTTCGGGGTGCTGAGTCGAATGGTCTTGGTCCGAGGAAGCTGAGATGCTCCCTTCCTCCTATATTCCCAATCGAACTCGCGCACTTCCACCGAAACTGGGTGACTGCGCCCTACTAGATGGGGATTTGTATGCAAAATGTCACTAAAAGCGCCATTTCGTTCTTATAAAAGCACGGATGACCGCGATTGGCCCATATGTTGTAGTCGTTTGGACGCTAAGTCGACTGGTTTTGGTCCGAATGGGCTGCGATGCAGCGTTCCTCCTTTATTCCCAATCGAACATGGTTGAACAAGCGGTCACGTGCCCCTGCGTACACCAGTCACCTGGTCACCGTGCCTGCACGGTACAACTTACAGCCTGTTTGACCTTTTTTGGGTGCAGTCCTGTCACTCGAGTTGAACCTTGGTGTGAAAGTTGTCGCCTGCTGGCGCGATGACTAGGTGACTTGGGCACGCAGGAGCACGTGGCCACTTGTTCAACCATGTTCGATTGGGAATAAAGGAGGAACGCTGCATCGCAGCATTCTCGGACCAAAACCAGTCGACTCAGCGTCCAAAGACTACAACATATGGGCCAATCGCGGTCATCCGGGCTTTTATAAGAACGAAATGGCGCTTTTAGGGACACTTTGCATACAAATCCCCATCTAGTAGGGCGCAGTCGCCCAGTTTCAGTGGAAGTGCACGAGTTCGATTGGGAATAAAGGAAGAACGGAGCGTCTCAGCTTCCTCGGACCAAGACCATTCGACTCAGCACCCCGAAGACTACGACTGGTGAACATTTGATTTTAGGCTTAACTTCCCCTTTAAATACGGTTGCTTCATTTCTCTTTCTCTATAAAGTAAGATCTAAAGAGCACCAACGCCACTGTTCCTGGAGCCTTTGTCTCAGCCAAAAACAGACATGAACGGAACCGTTTCATTCATAGATGCATGGAGCTCAATTCTGAAAATGTGCAAGCTGTTCTTCTTCTTATTATTATCATTGTCACCATTTCTCTTTGCTGTCTTGTGCAGAGGAAAACCCGCTTGAGCTCAGTATGATCAATCGTCGTATTCAAGAAATCTCGCGTGTACTTGGCAACTTCAAGCAGCTTCATGAGCCAGGGAGGTAAGTACATGTGCCAGCATATTAACTCGGTGACCCACTGTCAATGCGCGTGTCTTTGAAAGAAAACAGGCATGTACGGATTCCATGCTGGGGAACTCTTTTCTTGCTCACGTGTTAATCTTGTGTTTGGGGTTGGCAGACAAATCTTCTCGCTTGGCGCATAATCATGATCACCAGGCGGGGGGAGTCAAGTGACTTGTCACTTGATGCGTGTGCCTAAAGTAAACACCAGAGTGGACCATCCGACCTCTCTGTCTCAACGTGGCAGATGTAGACTTGATTTCCACTCTCATTCTCACAGAGGGCCTGTGATTACATGGCCTTCCACTCTTTGTAGATTTGTTCCATGGCTCAGTTGGCAGCCTGGATGTTTTCTATTGTCCCCATTGTTTAAAGGCTCCTGTGGTTTTCAATTTTTTGTCTCATCGGGTTCATGATGGATAGAATGTGTTTTCGCTGTCTCTTTCTTTTTTGCTTTGTATGCTGGACTGCAGAACGCGTGCAGAGTACCGGCAGATCTTTCAGAAAGACATCTGTGCCTACTACAGCTATAATGAGTTCCTAGTTTCCAAGTTCGCGGATCTCTTCCACTCTAATGAGGTGCGCAGATTATGAATGAATGGGTGTTTGGTTTTGAACTGCCATGGTGCTTTGCCGAATATGGCAGCGGGTCATATCGACCTGAGTTTTAATGCGCCGGCATAACCTCGTGGACTGCTTTTTTCTTCTTTTTTTTCGTTTTCTTGTATGATACCAGTTGGTGGAATTCCTCGATGCTAATGAAGTGCGGAGACCTGTCACCATTCGAACGAATTCACTCAAAACCAAGCGCCGTGACTTGGCACAGGTTAGTATTCTGCCTCCCGTAGTTACAGATTTTTTTCCATAGTAATCCATTTATTGAAACAAAGAAAAATGGTGGCACCTATGTACAGGGGCTGGCCCACGCCTGGTATAAAGTAAACGTAGAGAGAAAAAAAGTAGTACAGTGAAATGAGGCTCCAAGTCACAGACAGCACACGGGGTCGCCGTGGCAAACAAAGGGAGAGAAGAAGGAAAAGAAAAGATAAGAGAGGTAAGCAACTCCATGTACATCAGCAGTACTTGTGTCATACGCTTACAATGAACACTCAGCAGCCGCCAGAACAGCCGAGTGAACTGGAAGTGGCACTGAAGAGCGCCGGTAGCCGCGCAGACTAGCAACCATGGCTCTCACTAGGCTGAAGGACAGTTTAGTCCGGACAAAAGCCATGGTGACGGAAAAAGGCTTGTTGCGCTTGTCGCTCAGTTTGCTGGCAATCCTGGCAAACAGCGCAGATGAGGCTTTTCCCTGTCCACCAGTGGTGGAGAAGACAATGGGCACAAAGGAGGAGTGCTCTACCTCCAGAACTCGCCGCTCATATTTCCTCCGCTTCTCCTGCTCATGCTTTCTGTAGACAGACGAGAGTGTAAGGTTTCGATTTGAGGGGACAAAAGGGTTGAACACCCGAACATCAAACATTGTCCTCTCAAACCTACTCCCATACAACCCCACGCTGCCACATCCAGCCTAGCATGGTATTCGATGTTGGTCGACCGAAGCGGGAACATTTCACCGGACAGGGGCTCCAGTGCAGGCTCCACACAGACATCGTGGGCTACTTCCCGCAGCAAATTGGCGGTGAGGTCGCAAATCTCATTGTGCCGCATTCCAGGGAAGCCACCAACTGAACACGACAGTGCATGCGTCGTGTCAAACGGCTTGCCGCAGACGCAATGGGTTGGCAGTCGGGGATGGGTCCAGCCGTACCGCAGGCACAAGACATCGCGAAATCCCGACTTCGGCATCGTGAACTGAAAGTGGCGAGATGGCCGACACGTGAGCCAACTTGAGGCTCCCTTTTCCGCAGCCAGATCCAAGATCCTTTGGTCGTCCAGGCTGAGCTGGTCCCTGAAGGAGGACAGGGCCACAGCTTGATCATGGCGTGTGGTCACACGTACATCCAACTTGGCGGCTTTGATGGCAGCAAACACGTCTTCAGTGGATTCCTCCTGCTTCAGTAGCCTCTCCACTAGTGGCTTGGTGATGGAGACAGAGTACTGGCTGGATAAACCGGTGGGGATGATGAGTCCCAGGCCACCATTGCGACAGGGGAGCGATAGCATCGTGCGCTCGCTTTCACCCAGAGCTTGGCGACCAGTGAGTGCTGGCGGAAAGATGAGACGGATGGCTTGTTCCAGGGGCACAAGGAGATCAGAGATAGTAGGCATGGTCCTGGCCAGAAAAGACCACTTTTGCCGTAGGGCATGTACAGAATCGATTATGGTGTAATTCGAGTGAAGACTTTATATTTGATTGTAGCTGGGACTACCACGGAATATACATGTACTCAGAAGAGTGTGAAGATTTAGTCAGAAACATGATAGAAGGGGAAAGGCAGCTACCATCTTGGTTTCTGTAAAGTCTTGTTTTGTTCCATTTTCTGGATCTGTTTTGCTGTAGGCGTTGATTAATCGTGGTGTCAACCTGGATCCCATCGGCAAGTGGTCCAAGGTCGGCCTGGTCATCTATGACTCTGGTGTCCCCATCGGTTAGTTGTGCGATGTTGTTTTTGCCGGAAGCACAGTGGTCTGGATGTTTGAAGAATAACGAATATTTGCCCTCTGGCTAAATTGTGTCGGAATTGAACGGGTTCGCGTAGAAACCAGACATGGAGCAGGTGATCCTCAAACAGTCATGTTGTGGTGGTGGTTGGGGGGGGGGGGGGGGGGCAGGGAAAATAGTTGCTTATTTCTCACAGCATCCATTGCTAACTTATCGTTGTCCTTTGAATTTGTGCCCTATTTTAGGTGCCACACCCGAGTATCTTGCAGGCCACTACATGCTGCAGGGCGGTTCCTCTATGATCCCGTGCATTGCATTGGCGCCACAGCACAACGAATCTGTATTGGACTTGTGTGCTGCACCCGGTGGCAAGACTAGCTATCTCGGTCAGTACTACATGCACCAGAATAACGATGTGTAACATTTTAATATGTGCAGTACAGTAAACAACCAATGGGCTGTACATTCTCCAGCTACACTTGATTCGCATGTGATCTTCATTTTTGAGCACACTTTTAATACACAAAGTACTTCCTTCATATTGGGACATTTTATTTCTGCGTCTGGAAAGCGGAAGTATGCTGCGTGACAGATTTGATGTTTACTTACCATTGTCGGCCTCGAACATTGTCTTCTGCTCTATCTTTAGGTGCATTGATGAGAAACACCGGGTTTCTCCTGGCCAACGATGCGAAGAAAGACCGTTGCAAGGCAGTAGTCGGAAACTTGCACCGTCTCGGTAAGTTTTGAACTATTTCTGTAATGAAGACTGTATTATAGAAGTTGCCGAATGAAAGTTTCAGCTTTCTCATTTGGCTTGGTGGTAAATGCAGTGTTTTCCGTGCTGCTATGTGCGGGTTCGAATCCAGGTATTTTCAGATATTTGAAAAATTTATTTCTTGAAAGGCACACTGATCTCCTCATCTGGTGCATAATCATGGTCACCAAATGGGAGAGTCAAGTGACTTGTCACTTGATGTGTGTGCCAAAAGTAAACACCAGAGGGGACCATCCGACCTCTCTGCCTTGACGTGGCAGATGTAGACTTGAGTTCCGCTCCCATCCTTTTTTTTCTTTTTTTTCTTTTTGCGCTTTGTCCGTATCATGACAAGTGTAGAGTTGACTTCCGCCCTCATCTTTTTCTTCTTCTCTTGTTTAGTACTTTGTCGATGGCAGTTATTTTAGCCGTATTTCCTTTCTGCGCTGTGTCTGGGTATGCTTGGTTACTGTGCGCTTGTTTGGCAACCAGGTATTACAAACACCGTCGTCTGCAACTATGATGGACGTGCCTTTCCCAAAGTAAGTTTTAGTGTGACATTAATTTTGTGGTAGTAATTGTCTGGCGTGCTTCATTATTACTGGATGAGTACCAACTACGGTAGCTCTTAGCCGGTTTGAGTTAGAGGTGAAAGCTATACTCAGATCATCCCAAGCACATGATGCATTGTGCTTGACCCGGGTTGAACTTCCAACCCACCCTCTGTGGGGTTTTCAGTGCAACATGCATGGACAATACTGGGCCAGCGAATCTCCACGTCGTTGAACAGACCTTTTACATCGTCATGGCTCATGCCTTACACGTTCAAGCTATACTTTTTTTTGCAGCAGAAGACATCACTTGAACTTTCATATAGCTGGTGTACGGGGATGCGAGTTCCATCAGTCAATGCAACCCCAGACCATTGGAATCCATTTTGCAATGAAAGTACCTGTGGGAAATCTGGAAAATTACCTGTAAAGTCTAATGAGCATGATGCTTGTTCTAATCTTTTGTCTGATTGCACTTCTGTCTCCACCCTAAAAAAATAGGTATAATTGGTTCATTAGGGGTCGTCCGTAATTATCGAAAAATTAAAAAATCCGTCCTCGTGCAAAATTGTCTCTGACCCACCCACCCACCTCCCATTTTTTCCCAGTAATTTTTTGATTTTTACCGATGCCCAGCTCGAAAATAAGAACTCCTGAGTCCTGACCCCATGTTCACTGATTGCACCTACATGTACATGATATTGTACATGTATGTCAAGTACTAGTAGCTAAGTAAAGTGAGTAGGTCTACCGACGGCCATGCACGTCCTACAACTACAAAAGAGTCATGTACCGGTATATCATAGTGGTGTTTGCGATCCTACACTACGTCTACAGTGCACTATATGTCAGTGCAACAAGTGTACGGTATGAAAGTCACTGACAAAAAAAAGTACGAAAAATCGAAAAATTAAATTCCGCCAGCGCTCTTGACCACCCACCCCCTTTCTGCCTGAGGACGGATTTTTTAATTTTTCGAAAAATACGGACGACCCCTTAGTTTGAGGGAGTGAAAAGGGAAAAAAAGTCTGAAGAAAATGTATTGGTACCAATGAATGTGGCTTCGCCTGTCACTTTTCACCAATGAATCAGTTTTGTTTCTCTCATCACCGTTCTGTCTCGTGTGGTTTGTTCTTTTTAGGTAATGGGAGGATTTGACCGAGTTCTTGTGGACGCACCCTGCAGTGGAACTGGTGTCATTTCGAAAGATCCAGCCGTGAAAATGAGCAAGGTTCGTAACCAAAGTACATGCACTGCCTCTTTTGCTCAACTGCTAGTACCCAGAATGGTATACAATTGCCATTTCTGTTAGTGATACTTGCACCGTGTTTCATTGGAGCCATTAAGTCCTCTCCACTGGCCAAGAATTACCCACCTACTGTGTAATTGCCGTAACTATTGACTCCTTATTTTTTCACGCAATGGATTGTCATTTTCTCTTCGTCATGTCCCTTTCTTTTAATTTGCACACTTCCAGGACGACAAAGACATTCAACGCTGCTCGCACATTCAGCGTGAGTTGCTGTTGGCGGCCATCGACTCCTGCAATGCCAAGAGTTCTTCAGGTGGCTATGTTGTGTACTCCACCTGCTCTGTCCTGGTGAGCTGGCCACATCTGTTCTAGTCATTGCTTGTGTCTGTATGCTGTAAAAGTGCAGGGCGAAGAACACAGTGAGCAAAACTAACCCCGGTGCGGTTCTTGTATGATGTTTGGGACGGACTGTTTAGTGTGTGTGTGTGGGGGGGGGGGGGGGGTTGAGGACCCCCTACTCTCTGGCCCCACCCAATGCGATTTGCTAATCATATCATTTGTATAATGGGGTACATGTATAAAGTAGGCATGTACATGTCATGCACTGTAATAGCTTCTCTCTTGTTTTCGGTTTTGTTTTCACAGGTGGAGGAGAATGAGTCTGTAGTTGACTATGCGTTGAAGCGGCGTCATGTGAAGTTAGTACCAACTGGCGTTGACTTTGGCGAGGAGGGATTCACACGGTAAGTGTGTGTGTGTGTGCGTGTGCGTGTGTGTGTGTGTATGTGTATGTGTGTGTATGTGTGTGTTGTTTGCAGTGGTGCAGGTGGGCCTGGCGATAGCAGTATCGCCTCCAATGAAACCTATATTTATGGTTTTCTAATGAATGTCTTCTACTGTCTGTGTGAGCTTCACTGCATGACTGAGCACTGCAGTAGGAGCAAGTGAAACCCAGCACACTACCTCATGAACGCTCTGACAGTGCCAAATTCACTGCATGGCAGTCTACCAGCATTCTAGTGGACTGTGCACGAAATATACACCTACTAGTAAGCTTTCGCTAATCAGATGTACTTTTGCTCGGTGTTGTGTTTGTTGGTGTTAGGTTCCGTGAGAAGCGGTTCCACGCATCGCTCAACTTGACAAAGCGCTTCTACCCGCACACGCACAACATGGATGGTTTCTTCGTCGCCAAATTCAAGAAGTACTCAAACAAAGTCATTGGTGAGTTTGGAGTCCACGGCTACTGAAGTCACCATCTGCTTTATTGGCAAGGAGTTGTTTGCGTGTTACCTGTAGTGGATTAGTATTGTACATGTTTGTCTGATTGTCTGTTGTGTTCACCTTTCCTAATCCTGACCCTCTGCAAGTGAGACAAATGATTCATACTAAACTCAGTGTACATTGTACACACATCCTTGTCAGATTTTAGCAGGCCTACTAACTTGAGTATGACGTCTAGTTCTACATGTAGCTCATTACACTGTTCTGACTTTTGGTGCGATTTTACATGTTTGTTTGTCCTCTAGGCGAGGAGAAGGAAAAGAACAAAGACAAGGAAGAAAAGGAGCAGGAGGAAGATGGTAGTGATCAGGAGCAGGAGGAGGAGGAGACTGCTATGGAAGTTTAATCTGCTGTACCTGGGTATACAATGTGTTCTATAGACAAGTAGAGCACACAAGCTGTTTTAAATCCTGTAAATACTAGGGCTCAATGAATATACAATCATTACTGCATACTGTATTATAGAACATCTTGAACTGCATATAACCTTTTTTTCTTTTTTCTTTTTTTGTTATTGATGGACATGGTCTTTGAGTGTAAGACTACTGTAAATTTCATAGCGATTGCACTACTGTTCTCTCATTCTCTCTCTCTCTCTCTCTCTCTCTCTCTCTCTCTCTCTCTCTCTCTCTCTCTCTCTCTCTCTCTCTCTCATCTTTCTCTCTCTCATCTTTCTCTATATATTTTGGCAGGATAATGCCAGTGTTCTTTATTTTACTACTGGCCAGTATAGCCACCGTGGTTGAATGATCTGATTCTTGCATGTGTGTCACTATCAATAGACTAGAATGGCTCAGGCTGTGCTTTGCCATTGTACTGGGTACCACCGTTGAGCCTAGCCTGGCGAATACTACTCTATGTTGAACTTCTGACCAACACTGGCAAAGTGCCCCTAGACTAGGCTACAGTCTAGTTGCCTCGGTGTTTGCTCTGTGTCTCTTGCTTGAATGGGTCCTATAGTGTTATCATCACCCTGTTGTACTTGTAGGATGTCTAATGGTGCCAGGTTCACAAATCTCATCTGATTCGGGAGTTTATCCTGCTGTTCATGTATTCATGATTTCTGATGAGTGATGTTCTTGCAACACAACTTGTCAACAGGTTGTAATCGTGCTGGAATGAAAGGTAGCTTTGACCGTGGTGCTGGCACCGACTAAATCGGTTGTGTTTTCACTGTGTGTCACCACAGATTATTATTGTGTTGAACTTGATCCCACACTGGTTGAGAAAAAAACTGTGTTGGAATGTGAAAAATTGTTCGCAGCGCGAGGAATCAAAACATGATCATTTTTGTTTGTTTGGGACAGGGAGTCGTAAAATACCACTACTATTTTACGACTCCCTGGTTTGGGATGCATTGCATGCTCGATATCAAGAGTTCATAACCCCCAGGGTTTTTTTTACCAGGCGTGGGCCATCCCCGGCCCCTGGCCTGATTGTAGGTGCCAAACATTTTTTTATAAATTTGTACATGTACTCGTAAAAAACAAACAAAGAGGTCATGAAAAAAATCAGCAGTTTTTCAGGGTGCGTTTGGTTGGTACGATCTAGAACAGGATCGAACAGCTGGTGCACATGGAGCAGCCTCATGCCAACCAAACGGTACTCCAGAAACAGAGCACATTTTTGTGAGAAAATGTGCCAAAATGGTGCATTCTTCAAAAATGTGTATGGGTCACCATGGCTGTCAAGAAGCGGCAACTTAGAAAGATGGCGTCGGTTCGAGATGGCATGGTAACCGCGCACGTGCCGTGGTCCGTGACTTGCTCATGTATGCACGCAAATGCAAGTCACAAACTGACAAAGATCGTCTTTGCATTTGGAGAAAATATCTTCGACTCTCTTTGGAGGTTGGCGAGGTTTGCCTAATCTTTACTTGATTGCGATGCCGGTATGTCTTCTCAATAATTAGAACAAAGAGAGCTGATGATCGCTTCATTGCTGAGCAGAAGTAACAATCAACTCTCCTCCTGTCCTCAGTGCCAAAGGCAGACGACTGCAATTCCACAACGCTCATTTCACGATGATGGAAACAATAATCGTGTACTAGTACACACTTGGACCATTTGGTCATCCCTATTCTAGCCGCTAGTCCGTCCAGCAAGCAGATATTGACTATTACGATAAGTACAACTGCGTGAACGAGGGCTCACCCAGCAAATTCAATTCAAGACGTGACTCCAGTCAAGAATTAGGGTCTTTACTCGAGAACTTCACAAATACAGGTCAAGGCACCCCACAAAACTGATAGATGGCACGAACGAAAGACAAAGAGGCAAGACAAAGTGTCCCAAGTGATTGAAAACAGCAGATCTACCAAATAAGACAGCTACATGTGCCTAAACAACGATTCCCATACAGTAGGGAGTAGTATCAGGCAGAATGAAAGCCTTGGAAGTGCACAAATACAGCCACGACCGCCACAAAAATTGGACGACCGCCACAAAAAAATTCTCATTGCTCTACCTCCTTGAAGGGTGAAAGTTACCAGTTATCCTATAGCGATGTCAGTTTATGCCTGTTGGAACCCCCCACAGCCCGCACGAAATACCTTTCAAATAATTCCAGGATGCAATTGCAGCTCCAGACAGGAGGAAGAAGAACACCGTGAAAAATAACGGCAACGATGCCCAAACTCTCGGGAAACGGCTGAAGTCTTCCTGAAGATGTTAACATTGAATAGCCATCGATTACCAGCGTGGTTTGGTGACTTTAGAACTGTTTTGAGACTTAGAACGAAGCGATATCTCAAATTTGATGGAATTGTTACCTGTCAAATGCGTGGGCGAGCAGGCCAGCTGACTGGTTATGCATGAAGAACGAAGCGATATCTCAAATTTGATGGAATTGTTACCTGTCAAATGCGTGGGCGAGCAGGCCAGCTGACTGGTTATGCATGAACATGCATGAGCATGCATTGATTTTTCATGGTTCACGTGCAGAAAACTAAGTTGCCGCGATCCAAGTGCAGCCAGGGAGTCGTATACGACTCCCTGGTGCAGCTAACAGCCGTGGTCACTTTTAGGCGAAGGACTAAAGGGACCGTCACTTAATTTTTGCCGACTACCCGCCAAAAAAATCTTTTCGTTTCACGTGTCAGACACGTCCGCGAGCGCCCGCGCTACCTTACACGTCAGGCAATCTGTTCACGCCACATGGCTGGATAGCGCGTACATGCAAACATGATTGAAGACTTGCAAAATCAATTTTTTCCAAGTCCAGGCGCTAGGCCTAGGCAGTACTAATGCCTAGGCTAATGCCCAGGCAGCTGACTTTATTTTCGGAGAAACACTACTCATTGTAGTAAAAAAATAACAATGAATAGCGATATCATCTAGGAAGGATCGCTACCCTAACGCGAAGGAAAGGCCTTGCGCGGCTGCTCTACGAAGTGTTGAAGAAAGACTCATCAAAGTTAGTTGGTGGACGAACAACTCGCTGGCGCCGGAAAACTTGGCCCCCAACGATGGTGTTTGGTGAATCATCAAGCATAATGTCTTGTAGCAGTGTTCACCGAGGAAGGAGAACGCTCTAGTCGCTGCTGTTGTCCGTTTCATCCACGTTGGGCGCTAGCTGCACCGCGCCTATTGTGTTTTAGTATTCCATGGACACACATTAGCATTCAGAGCGATTGTGGAGCCACAATTTACTTCACACAGCGTTGTATTGTCCACGAGCGCAAACTTCATTATCAGCAGTAACTGTTACTCTTCATCCTACATGTAGACTTGGAGTATACACGGCCTTGTCACGACAGCGACAGCTCTACAGAGTGTTCAAGTGAGAAACATTAATTTCTATTGTTGGTGGACGAATAAATGGCTGGTTCCGAAAAAACACGGCCTGCACCGATGGTGTTTGGTGGATCATCAAACAGGGTGACCAGCAGTGTTCACCGAGGAAGGAGAATGCACTCGCCACCACTCCGATTCATCCAAGTGGGCGTTAGCTGCGCCGCGCCTATTGTGTTTTAGTATTCCATGGACGCACACTAGCGTTCTCAGCGATTGTGGAGCCACAACATATCTTCATGCGACGTTGCACTGTCCAAGAGCAGAAACGTCAGCAGTGACCCATCACTGTCAGGACTACAGTTTTTGCCTACCACAGTCGGTTTTGTGGTGACTGGCCGAACACGTCACTCCAAGCACTCAGCTACGCCGATGAGCAGCCATGCCAGCTATCGTTTCTCTAACTGATGCAACTTCCGACTCCTGCACCATCCCAGATCTGTGGGACCTAGACTGTGTTGACATCCAGGATTCAGGCAATCTTACTAACAACGACCTAGCCATTAGGCAATTCATCATTGTTCTACGATTTTGCCTGCCACCAATCGTCATGACCTGCGATACTGAGAAGGCCATTTTACAAATCAGTGCCAACCCAGCATACAGAGATGCGACACGATTTCTGTGGTTCGCCAACTCCGACAGTCCATCAGTCACCCCATCCAGCCTGTTCACGCTCATAAGCAGTCCATTTCTGCTTGGCGCGTCTATACAGCATCATTTGGCACAGCAAGATGACAAAACAGCTAGCAGTGGCTATTGGTGAGAACATTTTCTGCTGTGCCATTGGAGTGTGCACGATACACGAACCCTGCTCTTTTGTTGCCACCGCCTATGTAACTTACTGCATAGGGTGCAAGGTGACCGTTGTCGGTTTACATGTACGCCAGTTATTACACCGTGCATGCACTGAGTCTGTGCTGCACTGTGCATCCATAGGTGTTCGTTTGCGGTAGCGCAAGGTGACACGCAAGGTTGATGGATTGTTTTGTCCGCTGCTATTCGAAGCTCTCGGAGTCGGAAGCGTTACCTCTGTTTCCCCTGTTCCTCCCTGCGCGGAGTCGCATGTGTTTTGGTTTTCAGTTGTCTTTATTTGTTTTGTGTGGACGACAGTTCAATATTCTAGCAGTTGTTGCACTTCCTACTTCTGAAGTACATTCCGTAGTTATCTGCGGTTGGTGTTCGAGAGAGCAAACTGTGTTCTTCTCCAGAGTGGAGTAAACCATTCGCTTGTGTCTGAGGAAAACCCTGTGTGTTGACGAAGAGGTTGACTTGGCTGTAGAGTGAAAGTACCACATGGTCACATGGTCCACAAAATCTTAGAACTAACTTAGGGTCTTCTGGCGTATGGTATAATTATATGAGCAGCATGAGAGTGAAGTAAAAGACTATTAGCTCAAACATTCAGTCTTTCAAGAGTAGGTGTTTCATCACGGAATAGGTTCTGCAGTTCACTTACACACTGCAACAATGGACCAGCAGTGTCCAGCATACAATAGAGTCATGTGAATATGTACCGTATGCATACTCACAGCTGCAAGGCCAGCGCCCCGTGGCTGCTTGACTTCTCAATCGATATAAATATTCACAACAGTAAGACTCTGTGATCAATCAGAGCTGTGCTTCGAAGTAGTCACAAATGCCCCATGATCAGTCACAAAACAAAACTTGGCAACCAGTCACAGCTTCCACGGTGCCCCAAGACCAGTCACCAGAAATGACCGTAGTAAATCTGCAGGGAGTTTCATAATCTGTTCATTGCAGAGTCCACTATGCTATGATTCAAGAGGGGGGTTGCATTCCTGCGGATGCGGACAACTTGGCTGGAACCCGAGTGTCACGTGAACCCTGATTTTTAAGACTTTTATTATTTGTTTTACGATGAGCCTATTATACGCGATACAGGCTCAGAACACACTTTTCGTCTAGTTGGCATATCAGGGATATAGGGCGGAGCAGCCCATATCCCCAATTATGACACGCGAGTAATAGTGAAATACGATTGGCGTATTGTGCTGGACTGACTGCGGTAATGTAAAGCTAAAATAAAGCAGTCAGTTTGCCCTTAGCATGGCCTTGTCATGAGGGTGCCACATCCGTGGAAAGGCAACATGCCGGCTAATCTCCCTGAGAAGTTGAGTGGTTATCAGCAGGCGATGACGCTGTGTCGATGATGACCTGTTGATGCCCGACAGGAACCTTGCGAGGAGAGTCATTGTGCCTGACGAGTAGGTAAAGCCAACTTCCACATGAAGCTTGCGGATGGCCGACATGTAGACATGGACAGATCGGGGCTGAA